CCACGCTCTGTGCGAGAGTGGGAGGGGGTGTAATTAAGACAAGAATTAAGTTTCGAGAACGGTACAACGAATCGTCTTCTTTCTCTAATAATTTAATGAAGCGTCAAAGCTTCCGCGCTTTGCGCTGGAGAGGGGGTTGGAACTGAATTTATGCAAGAATTAAGAGTCGAGAACGGTACAACGAATCGTCTTCTTTCTCAATAATTCATTAATTGATAAAACGTCAAAGCTTCCGCTTTTTTGCGCAGGAGGGGGTGGGGAACTGAAATCAGACAATAATTTAGAGTCGAGTACGGTACAACGGCTCGTCTTCTTTCTAGAATAATTAAATGAAGCGTTATAAAGCGCGGGAGGGGGGGGGGGGGTGTTAATTAAGGATTTAGAGTCGAGAACAGTACTACGAATCGCCTTCTTTGTATTATGATTTAATGTAACGTCAAAACTTCCGCGCTTTGCGCGTGAGTGAGGGGGGGGGGGGATGAATTCAGACAAGAAATAAGATTCGAGATTGGTACAACGAATCGTCTTCTTTCTCAATAATTGCAAAAATGTCAAAGCCTCCGCGCTTTGCGCCATAAGGGGGTGGTGAACTGAAATGAGACAAGAATTGAGAGTCGAGAACGGTACAACTAATCGTCTTCTTTCTCAAATAATTAAATGAAGCATTAAAAGCGCGGGAGGGGGGGGGGTCTTATTTAAGACAGGGATTTAGAGTCGAGAACGGTACATGAATGTCTAATGATTAACTGAAGCGTTAAAAGCGCGGGAGGGGGGAATCTTATTCAAGAGAAGGATTTATAGTCGAGAACGGTACAACGAATCGTTTTCTTTGTCTAATGATTTAATGAAACTTCAAAGCTTTCGCGCTTTGCGCGTGAATGGAGGGGGGAGGGCTGAATTCAGACAAGAATTAAGATTCGAAAACGGTACAACGAATCGTCTTCTTTCTCAAATAATTAAATGAAGCGTTAAAAGCGCGGGAGGGGGGGGGGGGGGGGTCTTATTTACGACAGGGATTTAGAGTCGAGAACGGTACAACGAATCGCCTTCTTTGTCTAATGATTTAATGAAACGTAAAAAAGCGCGGGAGGGGGGGGGGGTCTTATTTAAGACAAGGATGAAGAGTCGAAACGGTACGACGATTCGTTTTCTTTCACTATAAATAATGTAATGAAACTTCAAAGCTTCCGCGCTTCGGACCAAAAAATAAAATAAGAGAAGGTGATTTTAGGAAGAAACAATTAATAATTACTTAAGGAAAGACAGAAAAAGAAAATGAGAAAATGATGAAGACAAAGAACAACATAAGAGAAGGTGGTAGAAGGAAGAAACACAGGATAGCGTAAGGAAAGAGAGGAAGAGGAAATAATAAAATGATAACAACAAACAATAACATAAGAGATGATAGAACAAAGAATAACATTAAGTAATTAAGACAAAAATAGAAAATGATTAAGAATACATAATGGAAAGATAGAACAAAGGATGAAAGATGGAAAAAAACAAAGATTAACATAAGGAAAGACAGAAAAAAGAAGGTGATAGAAGGAAGAAACAAAGAATAGCGTAAGTAAAGATAGGAAAAGGAAATAATGGAATAATAAAAACAAACAATAACATTAGAGAAGGTGATAAAAGGTAGTAACATAACATAATGAATTTAAGACAGAAAGAATACTGCTTAGGTCGGTTTATTAAAACAAAAGCAATGAAGAGAACACAGCGAAGGTCTAGTAACTAGACTACTCTCATTCAACAACAATAAACATCGCTCAGACACGCAGCTCAGAAATTGTCACACAACCTTCTCCGAGTTTGATTCTGATGCCAGCGCACGCAGTGCACTTACGCATACAGTTTTCTAACGAGACCGTACGTGCTACAGCGAGGGAAGAACGTACACGTAGTGCCTCGCTAGAAAATTGGACGAAACTCGGAAAAGACCCGTATGTCTATGCGACAATCTGCGCTCAAGCGTAGGCTGAGCAGCGTGGGCTGAGCGCACGATCTCATATTTATCTCCGCTTTTGCTGGTTCATTTTTTCCCGTTCAAAATTGCATTTGAGGTAGCAGTTCATTTTCAAATTTCTGGTAATAAAATCAAATTCAAAATAAAACATGAAATAAAAAAAAACATGTGCACTAATATGCGCAGTCATACAAGCTGGTCAGTCATAAGAGGGCTTAATCCGATGCAGCTGCTTAACAGCCGGTCGAAACGTGATTGACAGCTCTCTCCACGAGAAGAAGGGGGAAAAAGTTTCCTGAAGTGAGTCAAATCTGAAATTTGTTCGGGAGTATCAATATCATATCTCCGGTATTACTTGCCCGATTTTTGTGCTTTGAAGTTTTTTGGGGCAAATGAATCCCTAAGAACAAATTTCGGGAGAAAAAAAACACAGATTTGTGTAACTTTGGGATTTTTTTCTTCACATTTTCTCTTCAGCCAGACTCTGTTGACGGGTCTTATCAGCGCGTCATTGGCAATGGATTAGGAAAGTGATAAGAACGGGAGGTCCTTCTCCAGGCTCGTTTTCAAACTCTATGAGACAATCTCCGAGTTAGGGACACTAAAGTCGGAATCTCTCTAGCGAGGAATTTTCGTAATGATTTTTGTTTTTTGACACGTTCCCCTTTTCCTTCGACAAGTTCCCATTTTCCATTGCAATAAGTTTCCATTTTCCATTCTGATAACATAAGCGCCCTTCATAATCTCTTGTAAGTTCCCCTTTTCAGATACGTGCTCCTTTTCACTTTTGATACGTGCCCACTTCACCTCTGATAATTGCCCTATTCGAATCTGGTGGGTGCCCCTTTTAGCGTTGACAATCACATTCTCATGAGTGCCTCAGTTCAGCCGGTGTAAGGAGTGCCCTATTTTTACCTCTGATAAATCCTTCGTACTATGACATGTGCTCCTTTTCTTTTCTGATATCCCGTCGTATCCCTTTCGATTATATAAGGGTCCCCTTTTCCTGTCATCATTAAAATTGCCCCTAATTTAAAGGGACTAAAAGCAATTTCCCTAAACGTTCGCTCGCTATGCTCGCTCGCATTTATAGATGATATAATATGCCTAATTATAAATATTTTTAACTTATCAAAGGTCTGTTCAGTCTTCAGGATTGCCCCCCCCCCCACTCTTTATATTTAATGAGATGTATTTTTTAGCAATGAGACCTAGCTCACACATTGGGTGGTATTCTCATAAGTTAAGCCGGGACTAAGTCCAGACTAAACAAGAATTTAGTTCACACTTCTATGGAATGCTAGGTTTCATCTCCCTCCTTCAATATTCATGACAAGGATAATCTACCAAAGACTTTGTTGAAATTCAGTTCATACTCATATTATTATTTCTTCCCATTTCATTGCAAAATTAATTTTTTGGACGCTTTTCATTGAAGGATTAAAATAATCTGTTAAGGGTAAATTAGTTCACAACAGGCACTCCATAAAAGTGTGAACCACTACGTGGATCCTTGTCATTTGATTGGACGGTTGTTGATCACATGATATTCAATAGATGGTATATTGCACGGTCGTGCATTTTTGGTTATATGCGCCGTGCATTTTTGGTTATATGCAGACTGCGTACCTCTCTGCTGCATGTGCGCGTATCCCTGCGTGTATCTGACGCGAAGGCAATCTGCATGTAATCAATCGAGAAGGCTTGACTCGAACTTTAATTTATCTTTATAAGGAGTAAAGCATAATTTGTTGATTAACGTTCTATTAGGTCTTCTTCGATGTTAATGAATGTTTTTCATTCGTTTAATAGTGCAAATATGTTCATTCGTTGAAAGATTAACGTTAATTCTATTCAACTCGGCTGACGCCTCGTTGAATAGAATGTTAATCTTTCAACTCATGAACATATTCGCACTATTGAACTCATAACCATTCATTATTTGTATACCAACTAACGCGCTAACTTAGTACGCGCTACCGGAATACTAAATGTTCTCCTCGATCGCTCGCTAATTCGCTCGCTCGCAAATGAATTTTCAGACCACCACACAGTGCAAAGTATGATGTAGAGGAACAAATATAGAAATCAATGTAGGGAATAAAACAATGTCTAAACAAAGTTAATTTTTTCGCTTTGAGATTTCTCTTTGTAGGTGCCCTTTCTCTCTCTCTCTCTCTCTCTCTCTCTCTCTCTCTCTCTCCAGAAAATGCCCTTTTTCGTTGGTGCCCCCCCCCCCCCACTTTGGAAGTCGCTTGACCGCCCCTGAGTTATTTTATTTATTTATTTATTTATGCATGCATGTTCACAATTTCACAATTCATTGAAGTTAACATCACATAAAAATTAATACAAGATGACAAATCATTTTCAATTTTACAATACATTTGAATTAACTTCACGTGAAAAAGAATATAACATTGTTTTATCAAAGACAAGTTGCAACTTATATACAGTTTGAAGAATGAACACACAAAGGTGATGAAACATAAGCAAATAGAGCTTGAATCGTTACAACACCTTTCAAATATATAATATATGACAAATAAAATTCCTAAAGTTTTGTAGTGAACTATTTACACTATTTACAAAGTTTAAAAAAAAAAAAAAAAAAAAAAAAAAAAAACATTTCGTTAGGCCTAGTAACAAAATTATGTTAGATTTAATTAGAACTGATAAATAGATTATAATGTAAGTAATATCTTACATCTGTGAAATGATAATACACTTGAGTGCTCTTTTAAAAGAGTTTGTTGATTTTATATTTCGAATATCATTAGGTAAAGAATTCCATACATCTGGACCTCTGTGTCTGATTGATTTCTGGGCTAATGTAGTGTGAGGATTGACCACATGTAAAATGTTAATATTTATTAATATCATTATTGTCATAAACATTGTTATTGTTGTTGTTGTCCCGTTGTTGCTGTCGCATGCACCATCATATTCATAATCCCGATCGCTTATCATCGCCTTTGTGCATCGCCTATGCGCGGTCGCAGCGGGTAATGAATATTCATCTACTTTGATGCATATTCATGAGGATCGTTAATTGAAGCCAGAATAAAAACATAACTTCACAATTGTTAGCCGTAAGTAAATTAAACTTTCTGTTTGTTGAATTGTTCAGACATTCTTTATCACTTGTATCCGTAGTTCATTTTAACAATTGAAAGAATGAGTTTCCTGACGTTTCGGTTTGGTTATAGACCTTTTCCTCAGCCGTTACTTGCAGTTCAGACTTCAGTTCAGTCCCACTCGTTATTTTTCCTGTGTGTCCCAAGTCATTGTCGCGGTAACTTGTCAATGTCAGTGATGATTTCAGATTTGGACCTGATCGAGCGCCTCGGGGCCGGGGCCAGTGCATGTGGCCGTGCGGAGCGGAGCGAGCTCGATGAACAGGCTCTGACTCATATGTCACATATAACTTTCTGCATTGATCGCTGTGCACTTAGTTTACAATCTCTTTCTCTCAGCTATTGAGATTGGCAGAGGCCAGAGCCGCGCCGCTTGAGCGGCTTCAAATTTAAGTGAGAGAGCACAGGTAGAACTTTACACAGCGCCTGCGCCTACGCATAACGATTAACGTTCATCCAATCTCAGCATATTGCAGCCTCATTTTACTAAATTGGTGCGAACTAGGGCCCTTCTTAAGATTGGCTATCGCTGGCTTCCATTCACTCAATGTTATAATATTGGTGCGAGGAGAAAGCTTTTGATTTTTCGTTTGATCCGATCCAAAATTATGATATTTCAGTCAAACCCTCTATTTCAGTATTTGTTACAATTTTTTCAGCATCCTTAAAATGTTATGTATTTCGCTTAAGTTTAAGTCTTACGGAACTATTTTAAAGATTGAACAATTCTTATTTTCGTCATATTTGATTGATTGATTGATTGATTTTTATTCGACAAGCTTCCAACATAAAAACAATATACAATAATAACAGATCAAAAATAAGTCAGCTTGAACAGGATAACCCACGAAAGCTCGAGAGCTTATTTCCAGTGGGGTCCCTTACAGACATGTATAAAATTAATAAGTTAAAATAGTTATATTTACAGACAGATAAGAAAATTAAAAGAACTATTTATTAAAGATAATAATAATAACAACATTAAACTGATGATACTGATAGAAATGATATTAAGTAAAAGAAGGAGAAGAAGAAAAAGAGGAGAAGGAAGAAGAGGAAAATAATGATGAATTTGTAGAATTTCTATAACGTACAAAAACATAAGTATATATACAACATGAAAAAGTATGAACCGACAGAAGAATAAAAATTTCAATCATATAACATGTCATTCACTTCTCTTCTCTGACTTTCAAGTATTAGGTATTCCTTTAATTTCCTCTTAAAATGATCATAGTTTCCTATTTCTTTTACACCATTGGGAAGGGAATTCCAATGTTTTATGGCATTGTAATAAAACGAATTTCCAATACTACCTACTCTTTCTGGTAATTTAAAGTTGAATCGGCTATTTCAAACTGTAAATTTATTCTGAAATGTTCGTTGATTTTTCTATTTTATGTGTGCATCAGTTATGTGTGAAGTGCGTCACCTGTTTAAAGCATTCATGTCAAAATCTCCTTGGTGTGACGAAATATTATGTATTGACATTGCCATCGAATTTAAGTTGTGCTTAAGTTAGGTAGGCCCTCTCTCACTTTAAATTTGAAGCCACTTGAGCGGATCGCAAATGGGAGCGCGTAAACTCACTGTACAGCGCTCAATGCGCAAAGTTCTTTGTGGAGAGAGCCTACTATCTCTTTCTTTTGTTAGCCTCTTATATGGGTAGGAACGACTCCTCTCTTTAGAGACAGAAGCCGACCATAGGGTCTCTTGTGAAAATGTTGTGTCCATTTATGGCCACAAAACTTTGCCCAAGATACTCTATTTTAGCGGATTTATGTCGGATAATCGGATGCATTTATTTTTGAAAATTAGGCCTTGACTATATACATATACATCGGTTCCACTTACCAGATTGATTGTATGATGCGTTTAAGGGTCTTTTTTCCGGATTTTCTTCGTCGAAATTGAGTGCAGTAACAGTTTAAAATGCGACTGCAAGAATTTCAACACGGAGCTCAATTGCTGTTGGGTAAAACTAAAACAAAAACAAATATGATTGACTTGTCACTGTCAGTCAATTGACATGAATCCATTGATGCATCCATCACTCAGTAAACTCTGTGTAGATCGAGGTCTAGAGGTGGTCAGTGGAGCCAGGCATAGTCTCAGTGGAACATCTTTTTACACAAGAGACTAAAACTTTCGGCCTACCCACGTTGCTCATCTATGAAGAGTGCAGTGAGGTGTCTGAATATGTTATTGATCCAAACTATCCTCTCTATTTTGGTGACAATATCATTTTTAGCATTTTATATAAAAATAGTAAACTGTATGATGTTTTGCTCAACTCGCTTTGCTTGCTGCAAAATTGGCAGAATGGAAAGTTTATATTATAGTGGCAAGAGGCATCAACTTCCATTTTGCAAAAATGTGACCATGTGATCACATCTGCAACAATCCCACATATTACTGCTTTTTAAATTGTGTTATTATTATTATTAGTAGTAGTATTTCTAATATGATTATTATTATTAATTATTACTAATATTATTCATTATTATGATTATTATGTATGTTTTCTATATTTTCCATGGGGAATTTTTAATAATTTCTACTGAATTATGTGATATCTTGAGAGAGGGTTTACTTTCCGAACTCTGTTTTATCTTCAGGAGATCTATTTTCAAAAAGCTGTTTTCGTTGATGATTTATTTCAGAGGATGAGCTCCTATATGACTTTCCTGGTTGCTGCCATTACAGCCGCCGTGACCTCTGTCCTCTTTGATGCACTCCACCAAGACTTGGGGCGGAGCTACGAGATGGGCGGGGCTCTAGGTTTGATTGACAGGGAAGCCAATCTTAGCTTGGAGGAATACAATGAAAAGTACAATGGCAAGTGGTAAGCACTAACAACTAACAAGTCACTAGCTGTTGGCTTACTTCGAATCATCGGGTCATCGCGTCCGGTCATGATAAAACTCAGTGCCCTATTCAGTTTTGTGGTTTACTCTTTTTGACTGAGATAAGCTTTTTTTTCAATTCAAAATGGGCTTCCAGATATTTGATAGTTTTTTAACTACCGGTATTTAGAATTTATTATGTCAACACCAACATTAACAAATTAAAAAAAGATGAAAAAGAAACAAAAAGTAAGAAAAGAAACAAGCCATGACTAAAATTTCAGGGAATAATTGTTACATACATTACGTGTTTTAACACTTCATGGCATCGTCTGGAACTCAGGGTTAAATCTGTCTGTTCTTATTATTAGCCAATGTTTTCATACTCAACGTTTCATTCTGTACAGGCCTGTAATCATCACAGATGTGGTAGGGAGTTGGAGAGCTAGCGGCTGGAGTGAGAATTTTTTTATTCAGAACTTTGGAGAGGAGCATGTAACTTTGAAGTCTGTCCAGGTAAGACTAAGATGTCACTTTACTCTAAAACCAAAAACTTGTATAAGTTTCAGGACTGATACACATCAGGGAGGCATTTCACAAAACTTGTTATCAGTGACAAATGACAACTTGTGTTATAAGCTACTGAAATCCTAGCTTCTGATTGGTTATCAGCAGATTTGTCACTGATTTTTGTTATTTTTCATTGAAAAAAGGCTTTGTGAAACACCCCCCTGGGCTTTGTCTTATAACCAGTTGTGATTGATTCAAATCAGTTGCAGGTTACCAGTCTCCTATATGTACATTGATATAAATTGCAAATAACAGTTTCATGTAAAATAAACAATACTGCACTAAGTTTTTTGACACATTTAATTTCGGGTTTAAAGAGAAGGTTGAGTTCTGGGAAGAGGTGAAAAATAATCTGTGAGCGTTATCATTGTTATTATGAAAGTGTGGAAGAACATCAGATGAAAAATGTTCCCTGAAAAGCATGGTTCTTTCAAATGCCTTAATATTCTAAATATGACATGTAACAGCATCCAAATCGGGACAGATTTTTATGCCACATGTTCGTGTAGTCCCATAAACTTCTTTCTGTGTACAGAACTTGTAACTCAAGACTGGGCCAAATTTCTAATCATTTTGATGATTCCAGAATCTTGCAGTACACACCAATACTTATATGCTAGATGATCAACCTTTTTTGTTCGATTCCACAACGTTTCTTTCACAATGCAATCGCATGACCAGAACTCAACTTTATCTTTAATGACAAGTTTCATGTTTTGAAGTGACTGAATTATAAGATAAAGATCTAAAACGAAATTCCAAAGTTTGTTGGTATCATAGGAAACTTAATGAAGAGAGTTTCCATGTACATGTTCCACGCTTTTTCTTTCTCTTGATGTCTTTGTTTTAAAGAGAAAACTGAAAGATGCGACGAGCAGCTACACGACCCTGCAACATTTTGTGAAGCTGAAGATGAAGGCTGGAACGAGAGACAGATGGCTTTATGTTGAAGATGAGATCTTCATACCACGAAGACCAACATTGAAGGAGGATATCGGACAAGTGGTAAGTTTACAAGTAGTCGATCATCTTCTTCTGAGGAGGCGCGATAGCTCAGTCGGTAGAGCAGTGGTCTCGTAATCTGGTGACCCGGGTTCGAAACCAAGTCGATGCACTAGTGCCCTTTGGTAAGGCATTAATCCTCATTACCAGGTCTTTCGGAGAGGACCTAAAGCCGTCGGACGTCTGGTTGCTTACTAACAAGCATTTATGCTTTCTTAGCAGTCAGGTAAAATAACCATCATCATTACCATCATATTATTTTCTGTACCCCTGATCTCTCACTTCTTTTTTGGCATTGTCTACTCTTTGTATTGTGACCGTGTTCATGTAAAGTAATGTCTTGTCCCGTTCTCGTCTCTGTTTGCATCCCCCTTTTTACCCATATTGTGTAGTTCCTTGTGTAGTTACGGACTTGTTAATTTAATTACTCATTATTCCTAAGTATCATTTCAGGTGTCCACACTTAAACAAGCATTGCTTTTCAGTGGACCCCTCTGTTTCCAATATGTATTCTCAAATTGTTGTAAATGTTTATAATTGATTTGTTATGTTTTGTTGTAAACATAAATAAATTAAAATTGAAAATAAAAATTAATAATCATTACCTATAAATATATACCTATCTTACCATGCAATTAAAATTCAGATTTCCAGGTATCTCCATCAAGGCCAGTCAATATTATATAAATACTAGATCTTTAATAAAGTTACAAATGCGTGATTGGTCTGGAGCTCGTCGCATGATATTATTTTTGATATACATTGAACACTCTAGGGTTCTACAAAAGAAATGGAACAAAGAAATCCTGCTAAAATAGATAGCGTTCTGTTGTTTGAGATTGGAAAGGGTCCATTGATGTACATTAAAAAATAATAATAATAATAATAATAGATTTATATAGCGCAGCTTTTATACAAAATATATTCAGCTGCGCTGGTTAAGAGCTCCTTTTTACTAAATTCTACAAAATAAGATCACTCAGTTGAACAAATAAGTTTTTAAATTGGATTTAAAAACATTGAGAGATGGAGTGCTTCTTATTTCTATTGGCAAGCTATTCCATAATTTGGGGGCGGCAATAGCAAAAGCACGGTCCCCAAGAGTTACTTTAGTTTTGCCATGGGGAATCTGAAACAGTAATTTATCTGTGGAACTGCGCAGGCTACGACTGTGTGATTGGACTTTGAGTTGAAGTAATTCTTTGATGTAATTAGGGGCTTGACCGCTCAATGATTTATAGACGATTAACAATATTTTGAATGAGATTCTTTGACGGACTGGCAACCAGTGGAGTTCTCTCAGAAGAGGTGCGGTTGAAGTGAATTTCGACCGACGATAGACAAGTCTTGCACATGCATTTTGTACTCTTTGTAACTTACATGTAGCTATCAGAGAATCAGGCATTCCAAACAGCAACCCCTTACAATAATCAAGCTTACTTGTGATAAGAGCGTGTACAACCAATTTCATACTTTCTTGATCAAAATATTTGCGGATACGTCTGAGATTGTACAGAAGATAGTATGTTGATTTGCATATATTTTTAACATGTGTTTCCATGGTTAAATTAGTATCAAAGTATACTCCTAAATTCCTTGCTGTAACAGAGGGTATCACATTGGAGGATCCAACTCTTACACCGTCAATGCTTATTTTTGAGATCTGTTGTGGAGTTCCTATAACCAAAAATTCACTCTTACTATCGTTTAGCTTAAGATTATTGTTAAGCATCCATCTATGAATAAAATTAACACATTTTTCCAACATTGAAACACTTGCATCTTGAGTACTAGTGGATGGTCTAAAGGATAAAAATAATTGTGTGTCGTCTGCATAACAGTGACAGGAGACTTCAGGAAAATTATCCTGAGTGCTCTTGATTAGATTACTCGTGTATAACATAAAAAGCAAAGGGCCGAGCCGAGAGCCCTGTGGCACACCAAAGGGCACCTGGAAAGAGTCAGAGACAATGCCATCAATTTTAACTTTTTGATGTCGATCAGACAAGTATGACTCGATCCAGCCGAGAGCAACACCGTCGATACCGCAGCATATCTTCAAAATATCTAGTAATCTGGAATGCTCAATAGTGTCAAAGGCACTACTCAAGTCAAGTAATAACAGGAGAGTGATTTTCTGTCTGTCCATTGCAATCAGAATATCACTCTTGATCCTGAGTAGTGCCGTTTCTGTACTATGAAACTGTCTATATGCAGACTGATTGGATGGAAGGAGTGAATTACTGTTAAGAAACTGTAAAATCTGTTGTGTGGCTGCACCTTCTACCAATTTAGAAATGTATTGTAGGTTACTTATGGGTCTAAGATTACCAAATTCAACATCAAGCCCTGGTTTTTTCAACAATGGTGAAACAAGTGAGACTTTCCATTCTTTAGGAAAGTGGCCCGTAGACAAGGAGACATTGATCATGGATGTGAACACAGGTAGTATAACATCAATATATTGCAAGAGAATCTTTGTTGGAATCGGATCAGCAGAACAAGACTTCTTGCTGAGCTTCATCACAAGTTTCCCTACTTCCTGTTCAGATAAAAGTTTAAACTTATCAAGCTTGATACCATCAGGTACTGGAATAAGACTTGATGAATCAGTATCAATTCTATCCATCGAACATATGCTAGTTTGAATGTCACTGTGAATGTTTAGAACCTTGTCATGAAAGAATTTTCCTAAGTCATTCACAAAAATCTTCTTATCAATGTTACATGGCATCACTGGTTGTTTGTTTGAAACATTAAGCAGAGATTTGATGACAATGAACAAGCTCTTTGAGTCATCTTTGTTATGTGTTACTAAATCTTTATGATAAGTTCTGTGAGCAGCATTCAAAACATACAATGCTGCATTGCGAGCTTTCTTGTACTCATTCAGATCGTGATCAGATCGTGTTCTAGACCATCGTTTCTGTGCTTTTCTTCTTTGCTTCTTTGCTGCTCTAACCTCGTCCGTGTACCATGGCACATGAGGACGGGCAACTACTCGTTTTGAAACTAAAGGAGCATGTTTATCTAAGACCTTTCTGAGTGTGATATCATACAAGGAGGCCAGATCAGAGATATCACTGGGTACATGTACATTTTGACAGAGTATACTTTCTGCAAGATCTATACTAAACATCCTAGCATTAATACGGGAGGATTTGCGATACGGCACAAGTTTGTCAGCCAATAATGGTTTACATGTATTGAGATGGCACATAACAGGAATATGATCAGATAAGAGGTAATCACATGGCCATGGTTGGCCAACAATTATATCATCAGACTCGCGACAAATAAGTAGGTCAAGGGTATGACCATGTGAATGAGTACTAAAATTTACAAATTGAGTACAACAGAGTGATTCGAGGAGGTCTCTAAATGACTTTGATTCAGATGAGCTTACATCAACTCGAATGTTGAAATCACCAGCAATTAGCAATGGAACATCGGACAAAAGGTGATCTTGAATATATTCATTGAACTGAGAAAGAAACAGTGGAACAGACACGGGATGAGATTCTGAATATGGTGGTCTGTATATATTGATCAAATGAAGACGAAACGATTTACAAGAAATATGATATTCAGCATACTCAAATGATTCCTTTTGACCGGCGGCAACTTGACGAGCATCGATGGAATCTTTGGAGAGAAGACCAGTTCCACCACCGCGGCGACCAGTCCTAGGATGGTGAAGGAAGCGATACCCAGAGGGAACAAATTCTTGTAGAACTGCGGTGTCACTCTCAGTTAACCAGGTTTCTGTTAGTGTGACTAAATCAGCATTGCTTTCATAGACAAAATCGTGAATAATAGTTGTTTTATTACGAACAGAGCGTACATTAATTGAACAAAGTTTAAGACGATCTGAAAGTGATGAAGTTCTAATCGTTGCTTGACTTACATGTCGAAGACTATTCTTTTTCCTTCCGCCTCGATTACCCCGTCTGGTTTTCTTACGCGTCGTCTTTTGAATTCCATATAATCCGATAGTTTCACAAACATGTAATGGAAGAGGTGCAGTGAAATCTTTCCACTGACAGAGTTCAGCTGGGGTGTACTTGATGACAGCAGCAGGTTGATTGACAAGACGTTTTGTAGCGAGTAGGGTGTCATCATGTTGCTTGTCTGGGCCGGGATTGGGGTGGACATCACCGGCATGAACTAGTTCCAACTGGAAGGAGGCATTGCTGTTAACACTGTATGGGATCCTTGTTTTAAGGAAATGTTTCCTGGTGAAAGGTTGACAACCCAAAGGATGGACAATGGTCTGTCCACTGCAGTCAGCGAAGTCAATAGCACTGGCATAGCAGCACAGAATGATGAACAGTCCCAGATGAAAAGGCTGCATTGTGTTTGATCTGAGTCTAAGCATTCAAGTTCGTTGAAGCAAACAATACACAAAAGCTACACAGTGAGGTACATGTACATGTACAGTAATGCACAGAGGTGTACAGGGAACATAGATTCTTACATATGGTACTAGTACAAACAGCAATCAAAAAATGTAACATTCAAGAACATATGAAATAATCACATATAAAACTTACAATTTGACCAGCTGATGCCATGTAACTTACACAATCATATAGTAATAGTACAAAAGATCAAATATAGCAAAATCAAGTAATTAGGAGCTCCTTCTTGGAGAGCAGCATAAGCATGTACATGCTCGTGCGCTCAACCCAACTCAACCCAACTTAAAGATAAAGACCAGTTCTGGTCAAGTGATTGCATTGTGAAAGATCAACGTGGAATCGATCAGAAAAGGTTGATCATCTAGCATATAAGTATTGGTGTGTACTGCAAGGTTCTGGAATCATCAAAATGATAAGAAATTTGGCCCAGTTTTGGTAAAGTTACAAGCACTTTACACAGAAATATGTATATGGGACTACACAAACATGTGGCATAAAAATCTGTCCCAATGTTTATGCTGTTACGTGCCATATTTAGAATATTAAGGCATTTGAGGAGCCATGCTTTTCAGGGAACATTTCTTATCTGATGTTCTTCCGTGCTTGCATAATAAAATTGATAACGCTCACAAATTATTTTTCACCTCTTTCCAGAACTCAACCTTCTCTTTAAATATATTTGATATTGGCTAAGCAAATTCAGTCTTATTTTTTCCTTCAAGATGCAAAATGCAGAAATTTACAGCATAATTGATAACCCACTACAGATAGATGCAAGTGTGTAAATTTACAGCTTTAATGACCAGGCTTGCTCGATGTATTTGATTAATTTCAGATGTATCTTCAAGAGGACTTCTTCCAAATATTCCCAGAAGAGATCAGACCATGGAATGCCATGATGTTATGGGGGACTGCTCACTCAAGATCGGCTCTACATATTGGTATGACATCATCACTCCGTCTCTCTCTTCACCCTCTGCCCCTCTCTCTCCCCCCCCCCCCCTCTCTCTCTCTGCCCCCTCCCCCCTCTCTCTCTCTCTTTCCTTTTTTTCTCTCAAGTTTATTCTCTTTCTGTGTACCTTCCTATTTCTCTATCTCTCTTTCTCTTGTCTGTCTCTGTATTTCTCTCTTTCTTTATATTTCTTTCTCCCCTTCTCTCTCTCTCTCTCTCTCTCTCTTTTTCTCTCTCTCTTTCCTTTTTTCCCTCAAGTTTATTCTCTTTCTGTGTACCTTCCTATTTCTCTATCTCTCTTTCTCTTGTCTGTCTCTGTATTTCTCTCTTTCTTTATATTTCTTTCTCCCCTTCTCTCTCTCTCTCTCTCTCTCTCTTTTTCTCTCTCTCTTTCCTTTTTTCCCTCAAGTTTGTTCTCTTTCTGTGTACCTTCCTATTTCTCTATCTCTATTTCTCTTGTCAGTCTCTGTGTTTCTCTCTTGCTCTATATTTCTTTCTCCCCCTTGTCTCTCTCTCTCATTTTCTCTCTCATGACTGTTCTCATTTTCTGTCTCTTTCTGTGTACCTTCCTATTTCTCTATCTCTCTTTCTCTATAATGTCTGTCTCTGCATTTCTCTCTTTTTTATCTTTCTTTCTGTCTTCCTCTATTTCTCTCCTCTCTACATCTTTCTCCATGATTCTGTCTCTCTACCCCTGCCTCGTCTCTCTGTATCTCAATCTCTTGCATTCTTACTTTGGCTATTTTCTATCTCTCTACTCATTCCTTTTTTTTTCTCACTACCTCTCTCTTTCTTTCTCAGTCTCTCTTTTTCTGATTGTACTTTGTATCTGTTTTCATCTCTTCCTGTCCTATTTTTATCTGTCTGTGTCTGTATGTCTTTGTCTCTCTTCTTTACATGTAGATGTACACCCTAACTCCATCTCATCCTCTATGTTGTAGATCCATACAACTGGACAGGCACCAACGCAGTGATATGGGGAAAGAAGCGATGGAAGCTCTATCCCCCTGGTCAAGATGACTTACTTTATGCTACGACCAACCCCAACTCAGGATTCCCGCTCAATTGTCATACTTATAGCAGGTCAGTTTCCTAACCCGATAAGTGCCATAGGCAGTTATTATCTGCTCCAATTCTGCCACTATTTGATGGAGAAAAGCATGTACATGCTGATGAAATTTAATAATTGCTCATAAATGTTGATATTATGAAACAATGTTCTAAGAAAAAATGGCAAAAGAAAGTATGAATCTTGCTTAGGGAGACATGATTGTATCATGAAGTAAAAATCTTTATTCACCTACTGAAAGCAGGGGTAGTCTGTTTAGTGATTAAAACATTGTTGTTTTATCTGACTACGGATTCAGAACTTCCTTTACTGCTAGTTTGGTTTCAATCTGTAGAGGTGCTGTGGTCTAGTGACGAGGTCACCATAATGCAGATCCCAAGGTACGGCATTCAAATCCATGCCAAGGCTCTGATGTCTTATGGCAGGGCTCCTCATAGTCCAGCCGGGCCCGGATCCACAACCGGAACACAGAGCAAGTCAATCCTGACCGCCCGGCAGGATCTGCATTTAAAAAAGAAATTTAAAAGAAATTACTTTTAAATCTGCGCTTAAACCCAACTTGAAACCAGCACCTTAAGTTGGTGGCTGCACATGACGACACACCTCCAGTTTAAATGCCTTTACGGTGTCTTTTGGAGGAATCCTACCGAGCAACAATTTATGGTTTAGATGCTGCTTATAAGTACCGGCTTGCATGGTGATGTAGATATACAGTAGGCTTACGGTTGCACCATGGGAGAGAGGGGGCGGGGGAAGGATTGGGGAGTCCTGAAAAGGGCTGTTGACTGTAATCTTTCTTTCTTGAGTGTGTGTGTAGTGTGTGAAGCTTATAGTTCTAAAGAGAACTATAACGCCAGTTGGAGAGGATGGGTAGTAGGGGAGGGGTCTTGACGTTTCAAATAGGTTGACTTTCTGTCGTCGGGAGAACTATAAGCTCAAGAAAGATAACCAACAGTCCCTTTCAGGACTAGACACACACACTCAAGAAAGACAGATTACAGACAATCCTTCTCAGGACTCCCCATCCTCCCTCCTCTCTCACATGGTGCAACCGTAAGCCAACTGTTGAATGAATGGTGGTGGTTATTTTATCAGACTGCTAAGAAAGCATAAATGCTTGTTGTAGTAAGCAACCAGACGGCCGACGGCTTTAGGTCCTCTCCAAGGGACCTGGTAATGAGGATTAATGCCTTACCAAATAACATTTAATTTGATTCTTTCTTTCTTTCTTTCTTTCTTCAGTCCTATCGATGCCTTTGATCCTGATCTTGATGCTTATCCTGACTTTGCCAAAGCAAGAGGTATTCAGGTAGAGCAGAACCCTGGAGAGCTTTTAATCATTCCGACGGGTTGGTTCCACCAAGCTTTCAATGTTAAAGAGACATTCGCTATCAGCAGTCAAGTCATGAACCTTGCTAATTATAAGTAAGATACTTTTTTTTGATATTACCTTGTACTTTCAATTAAAGATAAACTTGAGTTCTGGTAAAAAAAAAGAAAATGAATTCTCACAGAATCTAACGAAACTTACACTGAATGTTCAAGATTACAAATAAATGTCATTTGCCAAACAATTTTGGTAGAAAATGTTTACTGGCTGAGTAATGAGCATAGACAGATAAGGAAATCAAGGTTAGTAGCCCAGACACATTTTGTGTAGTCCCATATACATCTTTCTGTGTACAGTGCTTCTTACTTTACCAAGACTGGGCCAAATTGATTATGATTTTGATGACTCCAGAACCTTGCAGTGCACACCAATACTTACATGCTACATGATCAACTTTTTCTAATCCATTTCACACCTTTTCTTTCACAATGCAATCGCAATGACCAGGACTCAACTTCATCTTTAAATAGCGATATTTGCTATCAGCATCAACTCATTAAAGAGCGAAAGTAAAAGCGAGATATTTGTAATGTATCACCTTGTACTTAACAAAATGGTTATTAGACCATGTGGATAGTAGACGGGCTGGGTGAGGACCAACTGGGAATAGACCAAATGGCAATAGACCAGCCTGTGTACACACATAAGGCCTACAAAAAAAAATGTTATTGCCCTTTGTGACCGACCCCAATATCTGGAAATCTATGGTCGGCTTTAAAAAAAAAAAAAATCACTGTTTTTTAGAAAAAAATATGTATTACCGGTACAACATTAAAAAGTGAGAAATATTATACAAAAGAGGGAGTTAAAAAATATTTAAAAAAAAGATATCTGACTGACCGACCCATGTTTTTAGGCCTAAGGATCCTGTTTTCATCATCTCCTTATTCCACAGAATCATCCTGGAAGAGATAGCCAAGGCAGGCCATTTTCCGCAAGGCGAAATCCCTCAAGCATATGAATCTTTGGCACCAGAAAAGCAGGTAGGGTCCAAGTCCAATTAGTGTATCGCAGAGGGGTGCTGCATTTTAATAACTGTTTTCTGATTAAATTGTAATTAGGGGGTGGCAAATTCTTATCGTTATGTAGTGGTGGTTAGTGGTGGTTATTTTACCTGACTGCAAAGAAAACATAAATGCTTGTTAGTAAGCAACCAGAGGACTGATAGCTTTAGGTCATCTCCGAGAGACCTGGTGATGAGGAGTAATGCCTTACCAAAGGGTACTAGCGCATCGCCTTTGTTTTGAACCCGTGCCGCCGGATTACGAGACCACTGCTCTACCAATTGAACTATCGCGCCTCCTCAAATGAGATCCATGTCGATATTCTGTATCATTTGAACGATATGCTAATTACAAAGTGATCTATTGTGAATGGGATGAATAAAAATTGAAAAATAATGAAGAAAAGATGTTAGAATTGTTGTTCATTTGATTCTATCCTCGACTACAGGTGGAAGCTGCTATGAGGCTCATTCCGCAGCATGTCATTGACAGAGGGCGCACTGTGATAGACATTGCCATCAATCAGCTGACATTGCAACAGTCCATGCAAGGGAAATATGACTCGTGATAATGAGTCCTATGATTTCAACTGGGGGTCTTTCACAAAGACTAAGATCGACTTTAAGTGGGACCTAACTATGGCAGGCCGTTCATGCCACTGTTTTCTCTCACCATTTATTGGCATTGGTCTCTCAAGGGATGTATAAATCATGGTCACAAATCTACAGAATTGACATTTTTTGATAATTCATTATTGGAGGAAAAAATATTATGTAAAGATCATAATGGTGAGAGCAAACAGTGGCATGAATGGCCTGCCATAGTTAAGTCCAATCTTAGTCATTGTGAAACACTCTCGTGTTCTTAGCTCAGTAACTGTAGTGTATGTAGTATGTAGAGGTGTTGTGGATTAGTGGATAAGCCACTTCTCTGAGGATAACAAGGTTTAGGGTTCAATAGTGGTCTAGTGGATGCGCCACGGACTGTGTATCGCATGGTTTGCGGTTAGAGTCCCGCTGCGGCACTTATTTCCTTTGGCAAGATACTAAGCTACATTTGTCACACTCGACCCAGGTGAGGTAAATGGGTACCTGCGTTGTTACTGGTAGGAGTTAAAGATAAACTCCAGTTCTGGTAAAAAAAAAGAAAATTAATTCTCACAGAATCAAACGAAACTTACACTGAATGTTCAAGATTACAAATGACATGTGCCAAACAATTTTGGAAGAAAATGTATACTAGCTGAGTAATGAGCATAGAAAGACAAGGAAATCAAGGTAGTACTAGCCCCGACACCATGTGTGTTGTCCCATATATAGCTTTCTGTGTCCAGTGCTTGTTACTTTACCAAGACTGTGCCAAATTTAGGATGATTCTGATAACTCCAGAACCTTGCAGTACACACCAATACTTACATGCTATATGATCAACTGTTTCTGATCCATTCCACTCCTTTTCTTTCACAATGCAATTGCATGACCAGAACTCAAGTTTATCTTTAATTCCTTGAATGCTAGAGTGCCATAAAGCCTAGGTAATAATTGTGGAGCGACATTAGTACCTGTCAAGAACCCACCATTAGTATTATTAATATCCTATGAAACCTACATTTCTTACACTTGATTCAAGCTAGGTAGTCAATTATTATTTGAAGTAGTATTTGGTATCACCTGTACCAGAGAGTGGAAAAGCAAACTGAATCACTGTGACACTTTGGGTCTCTCCAACAGGTATAACTGATTGGGAATGTGCAGGTAGACCACTATACCAACACTTTCATTTTCACTGACTAATTCCCATTTCATGAAAACACAGACTAATTTCTTAAAGTCCACCGAATAATTTCAATAAATTTATCGGCGGCCTTGTTCCTAACAACAAATTCAATTTACATTAACCAATTAGTCTTGCCAACCAAAATGGCAGCACTCGTGCATATCGTAGGGGTGCTGTCCTCCGTAGAGAGCGTGTGTTCAGGGATGAAACAAATCCGTGAGAGTTGTATGACCATATAGATATGTTCAAGAAGTATAGATTCAACAGAGAAGGAGTTTGTTTCATAACCGACGAGTTGAGAAATGAATTGGAGCAAGGCTCTACCTGCTCTAATATCTGCAGGTCTTTGTAGCATTGTGATTTTTTGCAACTGGCAGCGTGCTCGACAGTGCTGCAACGATACATGGCTGCAGCATTGCCACAGACAGTCTACCGAGTGATAAGAAGGGTGATAAGAAGTAGTGCAGCAGGTTCCTATGGTGCTGAGATGTTGACTCCCGGCCCCCCCCCCCCACTCAGTGTTATTTAGGGTACGCATATGCTTGTTCCCTCTTTTTGAAAACACCCCCTATCTGAGGACTGCCAACATTTCCGAACCCTCCTTTCGCGGGCTTTTCGCAGGCTTTTCCTGCCTTGGAGACCCCCCTTAATCATGAAAAATGCTCAATGTACCCCCCTAATTTTGGAATAATTTCTCAGGAGTCCAAAGAGATGAGAGAAAAAACGAAAAAACATCCCCTTTTTAAAGAAATCTCCGGGTGAAAAGTTAATACACCCCTTTTTTTACAGTTCTCGGGCCGGACTTTGTCGCACGAAAAGTACCCCTTTACTGGACATTTTGGTAACAAGCATGGGTCCGTCCGTTCTCGGAGTGGGGGGCCGGGTGGTGACCCTGCTCTCGATCCTCAGCACTTGTGATGATGATTGGGTACAGGAAACGCATAATCGCACTACCGTATGAACGCCTTCACCGACACATGGAACAATTGAAATTTCATTATAGCAGTGACAATGCCATGTCGGTATTCGGGTATAAAACCCTGCCTTTAAAGATAAAGTTGAGTTCTGGTCATGCGATTGCATTGTGAAAGAAACATTGTGGAATCAATCAGAAAAGGTGATCATCTAGCATATAAGTATTGGTGTGTACTGCAAGGTTCTGAATCATCAAAATGTTAAAAAAATTTGACCCAGTCTTAGTAAAGTTACAAGTACTGTACACAGAAAGATGTATATGGGACTATCCTATATCTATCCAGTCCGGACAGATATGATAATTTACCAAATATATCAATTAGTAAGCGGTTTCCCGGCAAAATTTGTATCATCACTTATTAGTCAGAACATATTCTTTCACATGATTGGTAATAAGAGCTTCCATTTCATTTTTTGAGAGGGGGCATTTCCAAAACTAGTCTTTACTATTTTGGTCCATAGCAAAATATCCATCTCGATTGTGTAGAAAAAATACATTTGAGTCTTTGTAAATGCGTTATACACGTGTATATCAAAAGATAATCCATTGTGCTGTCAAAGTATTAAAGGGATAAACTTAAATTATGTTTTTTTTTTAATATATTACTGTTTAGGCCTAGTATGTTTAATAATTTGAATTCAATTGACTTCAATTAAAATGAAAAAAAGGAAAATATGCTTAACAAATTACAGCAGAAAAGTAAGGTTTGCAATAGAAATTCAGTATCATTACCTACGTGTATATGTCTGTAAGTTCCATGTATCAATATGAATGTTTTGTAAACGTGAGTGCAATAAAGTTTCTTATTATTTATTGAAGTTTAACTGAGTTTAGCTTATCTTCTTTCATACGTTTTCATGTCAAAGAATATAGTCCAGTCAAATAGCAATTTTAAAAAAAAATAGTAAACCTAAAATAATTGCATGAGTATTTATCCCACTGTTGTGGTCTTAGGAATAATCCTCTTAAGAACATACTAAAAGATTAGGAAATTTTAAGGAGTGGAAAGCAGATAAAGACGGAGACAGTGAGAGAGAGACACACACACAGACAGACAGAGATAAATAGACGGAGAGAGAGAGAGAGAGGCAGAGACAGAGAGAGAGAGAGAGATAGACGGAGACAGAGAAAGAGACAGAGAGTGAGGCAGAGACACGGAGAGAGAGATAGACGAAGAGAGAGAGAGGCAGAGACAGAAAGAGAGATAGACTAAAACAGAGAGAGAGATAGACAGAGACACAGAGAGAGGCAGAGAGAGAGAGAGAGAGAGATAGACAGGGACGGAGACAGAGAGAGAGACAGAGAGAGAGAGATAGACAGGGACTGAGTGAGAGAGAGAGAGAGAGAGACAGACAGACAGACAGAAACAGAGATAGACAGAGAGAGATAGACACACTATGAACATGATAGACAATGAAAGTGGACAAAATATACAGTTCCTCAGGTAGACAAAGGAACATCCCTTCACTGCTATTATGTAAAAATGTGTAGAACAGGTGTCACATGCATATTCACCTGTTCTACACATTTGTACATAATAGCAGTGAAGGGATGTTCCTTTGTCTACTTGAGGAACTGTATATTTTGTCCGCTTTCATTGTCTATCATGTTCATAGTGACAGTGACACAGGCAGAGAGATAGACAGGGAGTAAGTGAGAGAGAGAGAGACAGACAGACAGAAACAGAGATAGACAGAGAGAGATAGACAGTGACACAGGCAGAGAGAGAGAGAGATAGACAGGGAGTGAGTGAGAGAGAGAGAGAGTGAGAGACAGAAAATGGGGAGAAAAATTAGGGTTGGCTCTAAAGCACGGAGCAGACCCTACCCAAATAAGAGGGTAACGAATCAAAGAGACGGAATTTTCAGTCTAGCTGGGATGTAACTAAAAAAAATTAGCGCAGTTGTACGATTAAATCTTAAACCTATCGGAACCTGCTTAATTTCCTTTCTTATGTTTGAATAACAAAACACTCACATACGGGGCATGAAAGTTTGGTTCAAAGATTTTGAGTTTGTTCTCATATTTAGAATGACATCTGAACCCCTTCAAGGGGACATGTCTGTTGTGATATTCTTTCAAACTGACATAAAAGAATATATAAGAAGGCTCACAAATACATTTTCATCTTTACCAGAATTCCAAACTCAACCTTCACTATAATATATTTACTACAAAAAATTAAGGTATCAAATGCAGTTTGAATTAAAAGCGTGACAATGGCCATTTACTTTGTAATCATACATATTTATTTTCTCTTATCCAGCAAACAAATAATATTTGGTTAGAATACAAGTGTGAAAGGAATGTGAGATTTATCAACTGTCAAAGTACATTTTATTGTAAATATTATGTAGGACACAATTAGATTTAGATTTCATGATCCTTGATACAGTACATGTGTATATTACCAGTTCTATAAATTGCATGTGACACAGTTTCTTCACTTAATCACAAATGATTTGATTGAATACATGATTTTGATCCATAAATATGAAATCAGAAAAAAGCACTTTGATAATGCATCAACTGCACAATCCCCCATCCAGCCATGCACATATTGATACCCTAATCATAAGACCGAACCCGAATTACCAACCTTGACAATATTCCCTAATCCCCAACCTTAACACTAACATACAACGTTATTCTTTACTTTTGTTCTCCAAAATCTGTTAGCACATACATCGTCTGGTAAAGTATTTTAGATTGATTTCTACACTTTAACAGGGAATTATGATAAGTCCATCCAGGTTTTAATAAAAGCAGAAAAGTGAGAGAAACAAATCTGTGCTCAAACTTTCACAGACCTGTTTCTCTCATTTTCTGCTTCCAGTCAAACCAACTTATTTCTGTCTAGCCCTAACATTGACCCTAACTATATTAAATTCATTAATTTCATAAAACACAGAGATATAATATATATCAAAATTAATTGTGCTTGGGGAAATCGCATTAAAAAACCAGTGGCTTGCAATAAAACACAGCAATTCCCCTTACAATCATAGTAATAAAAACAGCAGTTACAGAATACAATTACTTTGATCAATATCAAATCTTACTGAGTGCATTGTAGGGTACTTTGCAGTTCAGTTTTGATAATACAATGATAAATAAGCAGAATCATAGCTGAATACATTGAGTTGCTGTTTTTACAAGTTTCCTTGTGAGTTCAAATGGACGGAGTGTGTAATAATGCTGATAAAAACGATGCAAAACACCTCAATCCTTTGTACAAGTTAAGTTAAGAGCTGGTCATATATAATTGGTAACAACGATAAAATTGGTTTACATGTATGTAGAAAAGCTCTTATTGGTGTTGCTCATTGCTTTTATGCTATTAAAAAAGGAGCACTTTTTTCTCTGAATAAAAATCATTTTGATTCTGTTGTGAACAGACCGATTTCATCATCATCGTTGATACATGTGTCTATCCATTCACTAATTTTTAAACTGATACAGAGAGAAAACAATTATCATAAACACAACCTCTTTATCTTGATGGCAAACTAACCGTGTATTTCTTCATTGAGAAGGTTTTTTTTTTAATCCCTTAAAATCATAGGGTGGTATTCTCATAAAGTAAGCTGAGACTAAGTCCAGGCTAAACTAGAATTTTAGTTCACACTTCTATGGAATGCTAGATTTCATCTTCCCCTTCAATATTCATGACAAAGATAATCTATCAAAGACCTTGTTGAAATTCAGTTCATACTCATATTATCTTTTTCTTCCCATTTCAATGCAAAATTAATTTTTTGGACACTTTTCATAGAAGGATTAAAATAATCTGTACAGGGTGAGGGTAAACGAGTTGGCAACAGGCACTCCATAAAAGTGTGAACTAACTTAGCATGCGCTACCAGAATACCACCCTACAGTGATTAGCAACAGACAATAGGCCAATTTGGTAATCGAAACCAAATTTATATCAAAGTGCCTAGATACAAATTATTTCATTTACCCGTTACAAATAATTGTAATACAATAGTCAGAAAGCAAATTGCATATTTTATGTGTTGCTAGGTAGGACAAGCCATAATGTTTGTCTTTCCTAGCAACAACTAATGTATGCAATTTGAATTCTAACTAGATACATTAATTCATAAGAGGTGAATGAAATAATTTGTATTGAGGCGCTTCACAAGCCTGGCATATGCATAAATTTGGTTACATTACGAAAATGGCTTATTTTACGTTCAAATCTCATCAAAACAAAATTACTTTGCGCATCATCATTAAATCTTTATCATTATTATTTCAGGGTATAAAACGCACCTTTGGTCATAGCTAGAGGAATATTAAGAAACAAGGGCCAGGTTAAAAATACAGACATAAGTTCAAGTTCATGAAAATTCGATTAAAATGTATGTTCCTATGTAATGTCACAATAGTTTGTTTTATGGCGGTTTTGAAAAATTGATCCCAGGTTTGTATGAATTTTCATCTCACAAAAGAGAAGTACGTTATCTAAAATGTACAGTCATGTCAAACAATTCAGACCTCTTAAAATGAATAATTATTTTCTATCATTTATAGAATATTTCAAATATATAGTCATGTCATTATTATTTTCCAGATTTATGATTAGAAAATAAAACAAAAAGGAAAAAGACACTGTTATACATGACAACCTACAGGGTACAATTTTTTTCTTCAACTTCTACATTACATCACACGATTCACAAGATCTACTACTATTTACTGGTGTTTCCAAAGCACACATTGGGTAATAAATAAGATCATATTTACAATACAATTAAAACTAAGTCTGAAAATCAGATTATTGCTACCTATAATTATCTAATACCAAGAGTAACACTTAATTATTCAGAAAAATATATATATACCAAAGTTAATTGCGTAAAGATAGCTCTTCGACTCTAAAAAACAACATCTTCTACAAACAATCAGAAAATTTCCTGTGATCCTTTAAATCCAATAATTATTTAGTTATTAAAGAGGAATTCTCACAATCTTTACACTTTAGATACAAGTACTATTTGTACACATTCAATGTAATTGGCAAAGCAAATGTTTGTTTTATACATAGTACATGAACTTAATCAAACTAATTTAAACAAAAATTGGGGCTAATGTAAAAAGAATCATCCCTGATTTTTAAAGTGATCAGTGTTTAGTCAAAGATGGGGAAATAGAAACATAGGTTTAATTCAATAATAAGAATTCTGTAAGAAAGGGTCTAATAAACAGTTTCATCATAATTAGAGCACAAAAGAATTTCATACCATTACCAATGTCTGTATAAAATTGCTTCTATTACTGTTCCAACAAAAGTTTTCAACCCGTGTTTTCAAAATCTAAATGATACTTTTACTGCAAGTTAATAGTTGAGTTACATTTCTCAATTTCTGTTCATTTCTTTGGAAAAGGTGCATAGCACACTTGAATGTATTAGACATAAAGGGTATCAAAATAAGAAAATTTCTTTCACAAAAATGAATGATGATTATAATGATGATAATGTTGATAATGTTGGTAAAGTTGAAAATGATGATGATGATGATGATGATGGTGATGGTGGTGATGATGATGATGATGATGATGATGATGATAATGATGATGGTGATGATGATGATGATGATGGCGATGATAATGATGATGATGATGATGATAATAATGATGATGGTGATGATGATGATAATGATAATGATGGTGATAATGATGATAATGATAATGATGATAGAGATGATGATGATGATGATGGTGATGATGATGATGATGGTGATGATGATGATGATGATGATGGTGATGATGATGATGATGATGATGGTGATGATGATGATGATGGTGGTGATGATGATGATGATGATGGTGATGATGATGATGATAATGATAATGATGATAGAGATGATGATGATAATAAAAATGATGATGATGTATTTTGACCGTAAATTGTTCCCTTATGGTCAAAATACTTGTAATGTGTTTCCCTAGGTTAATAAAAATCACATGATAAAAATATTTTTATTTTTAAATATACTTTATGCAAAAGTGTCTATTTGTAAAAGTAAATGCAGCACAACTATTTCAGAAAACGAGGGCATAGAAGGCAAATATAGAATACAAAAATCTTTGTTCGTAGCCTCAAATAGTGAATGACATCTCTTGTATAAAAATGCAATCGCAATTTTTTTGCAATGACTCTTCGGCCTATTAGTATAAAGCAAGGTTTCAGTATCTTGGAACATGATCAACACAATCTTTGTATCAAGTTTGGTTTACAGCACACAAAAAATAGTAGTATGACACATACTAATACTGACTTTGTTATTGCATGATGTGCTCCACTGAGAAGTCTATCATTTACAGCGTACTTGCAAAATACACTAGAAAGAAGATAATAAATACATTAAACAAAATAAGAAAATGAACACTAGAAAAGTAAGAGTTTCAATTAATAATAATAATAATAGTTTGTCCTTACACAGCGCATTTCAGGACTGCAGGCCCTTTCAAAGCGCTTTACAGATAAATATTATTACCACCAGATTCAGGCTTACCCGCACACAATGTATGCACAATTAGGGTGTTGCAATTTCACTAAAGTGTTTAAATGTTTTTCTATTTGTTATAGAAACAAAACTAAACAAAAGCGGTACTTGAAACTGAAAAGTGTATGTGTAAGCCAGTGAAATAAAAGAGTACAATTCAAAGTACTGTTTATTTTTACTTTAATATCTACATAATTCAGCCACCTGAACTGCCGAACTTTGTAGAAAATCCCTGATTGGTATTAGCCATGATTGCTACGATGAGTCTAGACATCTTCAACTGCGGTCCGTTGTGGTCTATTGTGATTAACCTCCACGAGCCGGAAAGCACGTATTACCATGGCAACAAGAGAAAGAAAGTTATGTAGGACATCAACAAACGGTCTGGTGGAAGTCCTTGTGGCCACACCCACGTTAAAGCAGAACATGGCAAAAGGTTGACAGAGTCCATTAAAGATCGCCGTGGCAACCGGTCTCAGGAAATAATCCCCGAATCCGGTTGTTACTCCAACCAAGAAGGCGCTGACGATGTTGTATGCAAGAAAACGCAGCCCCTCCAGGAGGAATATGAGGAAGAAGTCGACGAGGATGCGTAGTGTTGCAAAGATCTCGCGGGCACACCGGCGAAAGATGAGTTCTGATTTGTCGGCGATGGTTGTCATGTAAACAGCTTCCTGGGAAGGCCTGGTGTCTGCGTATGAAGTGTTACCATGGTGATAGATGTATACATACCTAAAAAAAACCAAAATATAGTAAAGATTCTGTGAGTATTCATTATCATCATCATCCTCACCATGACCATCACGGCCATTACTGTCATCAAATATTGCAATTTGTTTTCTAAGAGCAGAGCGCTTTATGCTTTATTTTGTCACACGATCACGAAGAATGAGAATTGTGTAGAATATTTAGACTTCAAAATATAGTGATTGTCTAATCTTAATATCAACTGTTTATGAGTGACATGGTAACACTACTTCATGGGCTGAAAAATACAGCTTTTCAGTTCAGTCCAGATATGATAGACTGCACTAATATTTTATAGGACTCCAGGTTTGATATGTGCAGACTTGTACACCTATTAATGGTATTTTCACTTAGTCTGGCATCAGCGAATTATGACTTGCTGCACATGGAAAATGACAACCCTCTCCCTGTAAGAAATCAAAATTATCTTCCAGCTAGGATACCAACCTTGTTCCTCTTTCATCATCATCCAAGGAGATGATTGTCTCGACGTCCTCCTCCTCCTTCCTGTAAACCACATCTACCTCTGAGTGTTTGAGACTGGGGACCGGAGGGGTCGTCATGGCAACCTGCATCTCCCTCGGAGGCTCCTCCGTCTTCTCCTTCTTTGTTTTCTTCTCTTTTGTTTTGCTCTTCAGGCTGATCGACCATCCTTTCTTTTTTCTTGGACTGGTGTCCTCTGGTTGGGGCTCAGCCTTAGGATCTACACCAAGGATAAATACCGTTAGAGGGAAACCCAAGCCAAATAGACAACTACTCTATATGAAAGTAGAAAAATCAGAGAAGCACACTGATGAAAGTTTTAATTGAATCTGACTAAATATAAGAAAGTTATGGATTTTTGAAAGTTGTAATCGCTATCCGTATGGGCACTTGAAATTGGCTTAAACTGTAATGTCAATGTGATGTGGTGCCGGACAACTTTCCCATCTGTTCCAACATGTAAAATGACTAAAGTTTAAATTTTTCAAAAGTTAATGGCTCATCAGGAGAGTCTATTCTTTGTAGAGGACCTATGATGATATGCTAGCTGTGATATATTTTGATTAGTGCTCCAAGAGAGAAGGAGCTTTCGAGAAAAACAGAAATTAGTGATATTTTTCTACACGGCAAATGGGAGAGTTATCCACGTCCTACGTCATAATCCACTAACCAAACTACCAATTTGAAATTTGCATAGACTTAGTGATCTCATATTTCAAACATGTATAACTTCCTTACTGTTGGTCTGATTCATTTCAATCTTTTGCCATTCTGTTTTCATACAAATCAACTTATTACAAGGGTTGGATTGCCCTTTAATCTGGGTTCATATACCGGTACCTCTCTAAGCGCTTTACAGATATTATTACCCTGGTAATCAGATTCATGCATGCACAGTGTGCACCATCTCCACTCCCTGGGGAGTAATCCGACCATATGGGCACCGTGAGGACATATGACAATTTAATGAATTACTAAACTCAAAGGCTTTCATCACCCTACCAGGTCCCTATTCTCTCCTGGGTATAAAGTGGTAAATGTAGATGAATGCCTTGCCAAGGACATTAGTGCCATGTCTGTGATTGAACCCAAGACCTGTGTATTTCAAGTCAAGTGCTTAAACCACTCGACTACGACATCTCTCAGTATAAGAGAAGGTAATATATAATTATTGTGAGATGAAATAGCATTTAAAAAAAAAAAAAGGGCATGAGGTAATAATGACCTGTTCCCCAATTTATAACTTTTTCAATTTTTGTCCAATTTCTTTCAAACTTTTACCAGTCTGCTTCTCTGTTTTTTCTTGCTTTCTTTTAAAGGCCCACTGCACTACTTGTAGCTACTTGCACCCTCTATATAACAATCAATGCATAATCGGTGACCATTGGTCCCCCATGATCCTCTTTTTGTTATGTTAACTGAGAGCTGAGTTGATGAGATAACCACCTGTACAGTGACCTTGCAGTGTGGTCTAATCCCTCCTTTACACTAGTACTGATGAGCTTTAACATAGATCGCTACTTAGGTTGGATTTTCTTTGCTGTCTATTCACCTGTTGTTTGTTCTGTGTTATTAGTGTTGTTGTTTGTTTCTAGTCCATCCCTCTCTCTCAGGATGCGGGTCAAAGCTTTCTGATTCTCGTCTGATTCGTCCCATGAACCTGTATCTGCAACTAAAGAAATAAAATATAATCTTCAGAATCCAATTCATAATCATTAGGTTCATCAAATGATAATGTACTAAACATTCAACAAATACTTCATGCTTAGAGACACAGTGCTTAGGGCCTTAGAAATGTTATATATTATTGATGTTATTATTATTATTATTGCTTCAGAGTTCAATCAACTATAGCAAATTGTGAAGTATGCTCAACTTGTATAATGTACCATTGTATCCAAATCAAGACCATTCCATATTATTATATCAGTACAATGACATGGCATATCTACGATTTGCCGTAGTGATATATAGTTGAACGAGCTACCGGTACATAACTCAAAGTTGCAAAAGTTCAATATTCCCCAAGTCAAAACAATTTCTTGACCAAACTATGCAAAACCCGTTTTTATAAATTTTGCACTTCTCAGGTCAAATTTTACATCAGTCGAATAACAGATTTAAATTATGCTGAGTGAACTGTATTTCAGTACGGCTGCAACTAACTTTATATCAGGGTGGACTTCCCTTTTAAACCTGTATGAAGTTTCAAGAAACCCCAGGTGACTTACATTGCTCATCCTTTGGTTTAGCCTTGGTCTTAGGTGAGGCGGGGTCATAGGATTCTCCCTTCCTACTACGACCGGGTCTCTGAGCAGCACTCTGACTAGGAGGGTCTTCATCTTCATCTATTACAAGAAAGAAATGATAGATACAGTGAAACCTGTATACAAATACCGCTCAAGAGAACAAGAAAAGTGGCAGGGCGCGACAAACCCGCTTGCCCGACGTCCCGGGGCAACCAAATTGAGCCGTCGGGCAAGTAAATCAAATTATCACTTGCCCGATTCGGGCAAGTGATACTTTTACAGTAATTTCCTAGTGTCCAAGAACTCTACCATTCACCCGTCAACTTCTTACCCGTCGTCAAAATCCAGAAGCAAAAAAGCGATCGTTCCGATTTCGAAAAAACTTCACAGACAGCTAGCCAGCTCAGCTAGCTCAGCGCGCATGCAACAGTGACACTTCAAGCCATGAATGCCGCTCCGCCTCCACGCACGGCCGGCCGTGAGCTAGCTAGAGACAGCTAGCGCGATCGTACCAGCTGCGAGCTTATTCGCGCTCTCTCTCTCTAGCTCTGCAGGCCGCACCGACAGGCCTTTGCTATTCTCTGATTGCCGATTGGTTGAATCACGCCAAATATGACGTCATTATTCTAGGGAAATGAACACGTGCGAATCGGAATGGAATAAACAACAGGGATTTTCTAGTAAGTACAAAAAGTCAAATGTTTGATATTTATTCATAATGACTGTTAATGATTGTGAACATATTATTTAAAACTCGCTGCTCATATGAATCAGATGAATGTTTTTGTCTCGTTTTCAATTTATTACTGCGGTCTCAAGATCCGACCGAGCGAGTCATTTTGATAATAGTATCGAGACCCCCAGAATATAAGCCGTTGTTGTTTTGTTTTCATGGTTTTAGCGACGTTGTTTAGTCTAGTTTTCGCATACTTATCCGAGATTTATCGTAAAATATCTTCAATATTATTATTTAGTAAGAATTTACAAATTTTGGCATGATATTTATAGCAGTGAATGATGAAATAAAAATGTCCGTACTTTATTTAAAATAGTTGATTACCCATTATTTACATGACGTTTCTTGATGGAAGAGTTGACCCAAATTATTAACAGCTGAAAATTAGCCTACGTTTCCAAATGACAGCGGCTTGCACAGACACACATGTGATGTTGCACCATGGTACATGTGGCTACCATTAATGACATGTTTGTATCATATTTTTTACAACAGGGTCATTATGCTTTTTTACATGACTGAATATTAAAAACTTAAACCTGCTTGAACCATTCTACCTTGCCGAGATTCATGTGAATCTGATTATTTATGGAGAATCAATAAAATGCGTTTTTTAAACCTTCAACCATCCTTTGTTGACCATTTTCTTTGACATATTAGGTTATTATTCAGTACAGTTACACTGTACATGTATGTGCATTAATTTGCTATCTAAAACACTAACTTATCATTACGAGATAATAAATGCTTTAACCTCGAGTCCTTTTTCGCTTTAAAGTTTTGGGCAAGTGGAAATATTGTTTGGGCAAGTAAATTGAAAACCCACTTGCCCGACAGGGCAAGTGGTGAAAAAAATTCTTGTAGCACCCTGAAGTGGTCCTTAAAGGCAGGTGGTGTTTATATGTACAGGTTCCTTTAGTACAGGTTTTAATGATTACCAATTTTTAAGGGTAATGAAAAATGTGGTCTTTATAGACAGGTGGTCGATAAAGCAGGTTTGGTTATACTAATAAAAATTAAAAATTTAAACAACGATACACATTGAAATAAATAATAATAATAATAATATTCTGGGTTTATATAAGGCTCAATACGTTGATGATGTCTCTAAGCGCTTTTCAGATTTAACTTTAATTACCCCGGTCATAGGATTCATGCTTGTCCGCACAGGATGTATGCACATTCTCCACTCCCTGGGAAGTGCATCCTACCGGGTACCCATCTAACACCTGGGTGGAGAGTGGCAAATATAGATTTATAATAAAGTCTTGCCAAAGGATATTAGTGCCTCTGCAAGACTCACACCCCAAACCATGGGATCCATAGTCCCCTGAAATCTAGACCAGACCAAAACACCTCTACATCATAATAATACAACAATAACAAAGAGGACTAAAGGTACCTTAGGGGTTGTGAAACTTCATGTTAGTTTTATTCAATATTTAGGGTTAGGTTAAGGTGTAGGGTTGCATGGGGCCATGCAGGGGTGAAGTTCAGAATTTTGTCAAATGTTAGGAATTAACCCTGGGGCATATGTTGTACAGCCGTGAAATGAAGAGCATGTATATGTATGGTAAATGGGTACCCGATAGGAAGAAATTCCTTGAATGCTAGGGAAAGCTTTTCATGGTAGCTCAGTTAAAGCCGGGGTAATGATATGATTGCAGGGCCCTCAGGGAAAACAGTATGAATACTGATGAGGCTACCCTGGGTAAACAAGACATATTATTATCATTATTATGGATAAGTTCAAGAAAGAGGCAGGGCTTTGCAATGATTCTCACCTCTGAGAGCCTCCCTGAAGTCATACGGTGGTTTCTCCTCTTTCTTCTTCTTTTTCGTCTTCTTGGTGGTTGATTTCTGAGACTGGTTGTCAGAGTCAATGCCACCCCGATCTATGAATACATTCACAGCTGGTCGCCCAGACCTAACTCAGATAGGACAATAACAATATCAGGATAAAGCCGTGTTCATCAATATTTAGAGTAAAACTTAAAGTGCACCAAACACCAAAACACGTGTGTGGCGCTTGATGCAATGGGTTATAATGTGTGCCACTGTATATTTGCGGTTTAAATGCACCCTCAGTGAACAGTAGAATGTTCTTTTGAGTATACTCGTTAACGCATAAGTACACATAGGGCACGCAAGGAATCTGGGTCAGACTTGGCGTCCGTGCGGGCCCTAGACATGGGGTTTTCTGTTGTCCTTCATTTTCTTAAAGACCCTATCCAATCAAATTACATCTTTACATCAATGGAGGAATAAACATCACTTTTCCTTTCAGTATTGCACAAAAGCAAATAAAAACCTCATTTTTTCCACACACCTCCAAATTACAGGTCAACAGGGGTCAGGTGTGCAGTTACGGTGACGATAATAATACACTTCATACTTCTGTATCTTATAACACAGAGCCAAGTATGTGTAGAAACATTGTTCCTATGTAAAATAACACAACATGGCTGTTAGGTGCTTTATATGTGAAGGAGCCTAATAAAAGCCCCACTGCCTTGCACTACTTATAGCTACAATGTACTTTTTATGCCTAATCAGTGACCTTGCAGGGAGGTCTAATCCCCCCTGGCCAAACTAGTGCAGACAGGCAGACAGGCTTTAAAGACCGTCAATACTACTGGGCCAGAAGGGATTAGACCACACAGCGAGGTCACTGACAGGTGGCTATCTCATTAACTCAGCTGTCAACTAACATAAGAAGAAGAGGATCATGGGGGACCAACAGGCACCGATTGGGGAAGTTTTCTATATAGAGGGAGCAAGTAGCTACAAGTAGGACAGTGGGGCTTTAAAGCAGGATTGATGGTATACACTCACCCTGTAGATGAGGTGAGTCCATCGGCAGCAGGTTTGGAAGCTTTCCTTTGTGATGTCACTGGGTCTGGCTTTAAAGGACTTCTTGTCTTAGAATCAGCCTTCGATGCTGGGCAAAATAAATAAATATATAACAAGAGATATAAAGACAATATTTATAGAAACACAAAGACACAGAAGGCCTAAAAAAAAACAGTACATGGCTTTGCAGTTCGGACCCTCCAAATTTAAAAATTCTTACACAGGGCTCAAAGATAAATCTGGACCCCCTTTATAACAAAAATAATTGTTATGTGGAGTTCTACTTCAGCTACTTCAGCTCTTGCAGCCGTAATCAGCTCACATTGCATTTCAAGGAATAAATACAGCTAGCTAATCTATCAATATTCAATAAGGAAGCTCACAAACATGAAATTGTATAAAGAATTTTTTTTCATGAAACTTGCACATGTACATGTATAAAGAAACGTTGTATAAAGAAAGGAGTGTACAGACTAGACAACAGTGTATTCAAAGAAACGTCCTATATTAAATAAAGGTCCTATAAAGAAACAAATTTTTAAGATGGCAAAAGACAGCTGTGCATAGAGCATACTCATGTTAAGCCCTGTTCAGAGTATAAACAAATAAATGACTTGTGGTATAGCTTTACAAGACTTGTATAGAACTCTATACAATTAATGCTGTTAGTCTGAACCCACAGAGTTTAAAAAGAACTACATGTAAGACGCCATCTACATGTACATTGTATTCACCTCCTCGAGACGACTTTGTTGATTTGTGTGATCTGCTGGATTTCACACTGAACTCTTCATCAGAGCTGATCTGGGTGACGGTGTTTTCTTCTGGCTCCGAGCTGTCCCAGTTGGATTCCGTCTCGGGAGACTGCGCCCGTCGACCCTTCGCCCTCTGTGCTGCAAGCTGTGCAAAGGATCATGAACAAATATTTGGATGTTATGTCTTTCATCAGGAGTGGAGGACAATGTTACATTAAAGGGATCCGGTAACTTTGTCTCAGATTCTGAAACAAAATTCTGGATTTAGCTCATGATGCAATGATAATTATAAACCTTTAGGTCAGTCAGGAACCCCATGACTTTTACAAGCCGATCGCCTGTCTGATTATCAAGATATTTATGATTGGAATTACAAATTTTGAAAACCGTTCGCCTGACGGTTTTCATAACACTACAGTCAATTGGGGAAAACGAGTATGGTAAAACCGGTCACTCAAAGATTTTGTAATTTTTTGAGGCACTTCTTGATCATTTTGAAGCGCAATTTATTTAGGGCTTCAATATTACACCATATCACAGACACTGATAACACTTACAGTAGGGCCGTGTATCTCAGATTTAACATTGTTAAACGATCCCTTTAACAAGCATGTACAGGACACATTGCAGGAACGAATTAGGCAGAGTTAGCAGAAGAAGAACAAGATGAAGAAGAAAAAGGAGAGGAAGGAGGAAAAGAAGGAGAAGGAGGAGGAAAAGAAGGAGAAGGAGGAGGAAAAGGAGGAGGAGAAGGAGACAAAGAACAAGTAGAGACGCTAGTCCGAGAATGAGGATCGTTCGAATAAAAGAGAATATCCTCGTATACGTTAACTACCGTAATGAGGATCCGACACAGGTAACGACATAAACATAACGACTTTTAACTCATGATCTTTAATTGGACATTCAACGAATATTTACTTCATTTTGGGTATGTTTTAATTTAGTAGGGTATCTCCACGCCGGAGTTACGGGTCAAATTTTTGATAGGTTTCTGTACAAGCGCCGAAAAATGCATCAAGAAAATCATCGCCAATCACGCGGATCGGAAATATGAAACGTCTGCGATAATGCGGACGATCCTTATTCTTGGACCAGCGCCCCTACTGATGAAGATGATGAAGAAGAAGAAGGAGGAGGAGGAGGAGGAGGAGGAGGAGGAGGAGGAGGAGGAGGAGGAGGAGGAGGAGGAGGAGGAGGAGGAGGAGGAGGAGGAGGAGGAGGAGGAGGAAGAAGAAGAAGAAGAAGAAGAAGAAGAAGAAGAAGAAGAAGAAGAAGAAGAAGAAGAAGAAGAAGAAGAAGAAGAAGGAGACGAAGAAGATCGAAGAAGCTCGGCCAATAAAATATTGTAATATTAGTCAAACGTTACATGAATATTAATACATGGGACCGAATATGAAAAATTAACTGATATTTTGGTTGATTTCATATCTCGTCTATCAAAGAAATTGATGTTTAAAAAATTGCGATGATGTCATAATCTAAATATCATAATACTTTGGCATACAAAAACGATTCAAAGAATCAAGAATCTTACCATCTTCTGGGCATTAAACTTAAAATCGTCCATTCTGATATCGTCGCCAAGAAGTTTGTTTTCCCCTGTCAACGAATTGAAGATAGCCGACTACCTTACGCATATGCGTCAACGGTTTTCTATGGTACTTTCAAAGGGGAGACCTACCTTGATAGTAAACTACTCTAGAGGAAAGCAGACAAATCAGAGAAGTAGAAGTTTGAAGAAGTTTGAAGAAGTTCGAAAAATGAGAAAGTTATGACGTAATCACTACAATTATGGATTCTTCTAATTGGCTGAATCAATAATGTATATGTTATGTAGTAGCGGACAACTTTCCCATTTGTTCCACCACACAAATTGATCAAAATGTCATTTTTTTTCTCAAAACTGTAGCCTATGTCTCAGGTGGGTCTATTCTCTTTAGAAATAATAAATAATGATATGCTATCTATCTATAACATATTTTAAAGGTAATTTGTCCCAATTGCAGGCCCCAAAAATGAAAAGGTTAAATTCCAACAGCATTTGAAAAGATAATACTAATTTAGAACTTCCCTAAAAAAAAAGGACGGGGGCCGGGGGCCGGGGGCCGGGGCTTGAAAATGTCTTTAAGTGGGAAAATAATGATTATTAGTTGTCGAATCGACTTAAGAGCTATAGAGCCAGTAAGAAATAGTCTGATGTTCAGACCGTTGTACCGAATGGTCCTACGTTTTAATGCTGCGCAGAGATTCAATCAGTTTAATTTTGGCCATTACAAGAAGTGGGTTATTGATGTAGACAAATGCTCATGTACCCTTTACAGCTCATTTTATGTATGTTATTACCAAAGAAGAAAAAAAGCCAGTAGTCACTCAATAGTGTCTGACAGTGAAGTCTAGCAAGATTACAGGCTTCCTTGCATAATTTGAATATTAGGACACTGCTAACGTTTAAATTTCAGATAGGACATATATGACATATAAATAACTCCTGCAAAGTTCTACAGAATTTGATGTTGGCTGCAAAAGGGACCATCATATTATATTTAAGTAGTGCTACAAGGGAGAAGGCATTTAACAGACAAACAGAAATTACTGGTATTTATGTACATGACAAACGGGAGAAAATACGGAACAATTAATTACCTGATCAAACTGCCAATTTAAGATTCGCATACATTTATTGATCTCATATTTCAAAGATTCGGAACTTTATTATTGGTCCCATTTACTTCAAACTTTTGACATTCTGTTCCTCTGATTCTACTGCTTTCATACAAATGAGTTAATTACACGTACAAGGGTCGGATTGCCTTTAGCATGCCACAGATCAAGTTATGATTATTTTCCATCACTCGGATATAGTTATCAGATTCATCTTTACGATCTCAAGTTCTCTCCATCGATCTCACTCTCCTCCCCTCATCTCTCCCTCTCTCTCTCTCACACACTTTTTTTTTTCTTCCAGTGTTAGCATCTTTGTTTTCATTCTTCATTCTTTTCATGACTCAGTCCAACTGACAGGGAGATATGTATTTACTGCACCTGGGTGGAGAGTGGCGAATGCAGATTGATGCCTTGCTAAAAGACACTAGGGCAATGGCTGAGATCCACAGTCCCGAAGCGCAAAAGTATCCACAACATTTCTAAAAGATAGAGAATCATACTTCAAGTTTCCCTTGTCACCAATTTTATTGATCATTTTAAATGAATTAATAAGGATCACAAAATGTTCGTTGAACGATAAACAATCCATGGTTTTACCATTACTACAAACCAATATTTGGTTAAAAAAACATAAAAAAGATACAAAATATTGCAATTCTGCTGAGAATTAAAAATGCCTACCAGTACTTCCCAATTCCAATGCAATAAAATTAATGACATAATTGTAAATACAACCTTAAATTGCCAGACTATTTTTTCACACTATTGAACAGCAAGCTTTCGTTATCTACAATTCCACACTTTTTTTTCTTCACAGAATTGATTTGGAGGGCAAGTTAGGTTATGCTACAGCTGGGGAAATCCTTTCCACAAAAGATTTCTTATGACAAAATCAACATCTTTGGTGTGCAAAAAAATCAAGCAACGCGCAAAACCTTAAAAATATGTAATTTAAATTTGAAAGTGAAATTGCATTCAGTTACCATACTGTCCTGTGTATTCGAGGCAGTAGGCTAGGCTCGAACGTTCTCTTCTTCATACTTTCTCTTGTGATTTGCAATGAATAAAGTATGTGATTTACAAAAAAGGGAAGGGTTTGAGCCAACCAGAGAAATATACATGTAGATTGTATAGCCTAATTATGTGTGTAATATGTACTTTACCTTCACAAACAAAAACTATAAAAAAAATTCAGAGGAAAAAAAGTGATAAATCTTCACTATTTGACTTGCATACATATATGAATGCAATGCATGTACCAGTACTAAGTATTAAAGTCAATGTTTTTTCTCTTTATAACTAAATGGCAGTACATAATCTAAAATAGTTGAATCTGTTAGTGGATTAATTTAGTATTTTAGCACCTATGAAGTCCTGTATAGTCTAATAGGCACATTCGATATCCTTACACAAAGTTAACATTGTAAACAGTATCAAATCATATTTTGGTACATACAATCGACTTTTGATTAATGCTACCTATAAAATTCATCTTAAACTCTCAAACTGGCTTTTCGACAAAAAATACCATACTTTAACACAATATTTCCATAAGTTATCAGCATGATTGCAAATACTTTACAAAAATTCTACCTTGGGCACTTCAATAGCTTAGTGGGTCACCTTTTGAATTGACACATTCATATGATCCAAACACACCTTCTCCGGGCAATATGATACGCTATTGACAATGACCTTGAGTTACATTGAAATTTCTCGAAAGTCTTTGCGATCATGTTGACCTTACATGACCCTTGACAAAGGTAGCCCTGGGTATGGACAGTCTAAAGGCTCATTCAAATAAGGAGCGGTAAACCGCAACTGTGTTTTTAATCAAGATTAAATGAATAGCAAGAGCACGCAGAAAAGGTCATATAAGTATTCACGTAGCTCTGCGTTATACGGTAAGATACAAAAATGTGAAGCATACAGTCAAAAGTGTCTTAGTGGTCACCTCTTCCTAAAGGCTACCTAGCTATAGTAGTCACCTATAATTGCCTCCTTCAAGGAGGAAATGTGTTGTAGAACCTGTCTAGAAAGACCACCTGTCTACCATGGTCACTTGTTACGTTTCCCTTGGGTAACCTACATAGACAAGCTTGACTGCATGTATTGACCTTACGCCATCACAAAAACCCAAGTGTGGTTTATCGCACCATACATGTATCTTAATAAGGCTTACAGATGCTCAAGCTTGGGTATATAGTCGTTCATGAAGTAGGCAACTTGGTGAACTCTGAGCCAATGGGTATTCCGCTCCCGTACGGACATATCCATGAAGGGACACTAGTACTGACGGGAGCGTAATACCCGTTGGTTCAGTATGCTACCCTCTATATACCCACGCATGAGAAACTTTAATATGCGAAGCGCATTTCCTCGGTGTAGCCGAGCTTCTCAAGGTTGGGCTTACAAGCGAAGTCAATCATGGGTGGAGGGCCACACATGAGGACCAGGGTATCGTCTCCTGGTGGAGGCATGTGATCCTTCAGCATCTCCTCACTCACAAACCCAGAGCTGTACTGCCAACCTGAGATGAGAGGTGTGAAGATGGTATAATTATGTTATTGTGTTGAAATGGAACTACATAAACATGTGGCATGAAAGTGTGGCCAACAACCTTGAGCTGTTACTTGTCATATTTACAAAATGAGGGTATTTCAACAGCCATCTTTTCATGAAATTTTTTCTATGATACACTTTCACTTGAATATAAACAGAATGAAAATCATTTTTTTTTGCCCTTTCAAAGGACTTGACCATCTTTTGAGAGAGACCCGTTTTCATAGAGTCTTGATCTCTAGAGATCTTAGCCTTGGAAAAGGTGGTCTTAATCTTGGAAGGGAAAGTATTGGAGTCGGTCTTGGTCTTGGACCTTGAGGTCAGGAATACAACACTGATGATGACTACATACCTTCTCCATGACGATTCAGGGTATACCAATCATAAATGCCTCTTTTTTGAAGAATCTTACAACTTTTTCGGGTTATTTTTGTCAATTGTTATACATTTGTTGAAAAAAAATTCTGCCCTTGCATACTGTTTATTGCACAGCATCACATATGGTCAACTTACCAACAGTGTGTAACCCAATTAATCTAATTTCCACTTCCAGACAGGGGAATGGACGCGAGAACCAACAGCACAGCTAGTTTTGGGACCATACTGTTACAGCTGACCTGAGATAGCACTGATGATGACTACTTACCTTCTCCAGGACGGTCCAGGGTATACCAGAGATGGAACCTGTCTGGTTGGGCCTTCTTCACTTCCTCAAGCTCCTCACGCAACAAGATGTCATTCTCCGTCTAAAGGAAGAATAGACCAACAAAAATAATATTTCAAAATATAATATTGATCGTTCAGGGGCACTAAAAATAAAAAGTACTGTAGGGCTTACAAGATAACAGAATATGAAAAGAAACATAAAACTTGCGAGACGTGATGAAGCAACTACAGAAACAATACCAACAACAACAGCAGCAGCAACAACTGATAACAAAAACCACTCACCTGGTTAGCGAAGAGGAGCCATAGGTTACTGGTGTCGTCCTCATCTCGGAAGACTTGACGGACGAGCTGAAGCATCGGAGTGATACCTGTAAACAAGAGTTGAAACTATCTTCAATATTCCACAGAACAGCTTCTTTTAAAGCGATACCGAACTGATGAATTTCCTGCCTTCGCATACTGTTTATTGCACACCGCCATCTCATGATCAACTTGCCAACAGTGTGTAACCCAATTAACTTATTTTTCAATTAGCAGACTCGATGCGAGAACCAACAGCGCTGTTAGGGAATCAATGAGTTACGGAACTATACTGTTACAGCTGACCTGAGATAGCACTACAGGGGATTTCGCAGTAGTGCTTGTAGTGTAGTATGGCTTTGAGGGTTACATTGATCATATCGTCTGTTTAGAGCCAGAAGGGCATTAACCTCATATCATTTTACACAGACTCAACACCATCTGGCTATCAAAAGAGGGTATCTTATTCTGCAATTGCTAATACTTGTTATTGTGTACCAGAAACAGCACAAACGTACAGAAATTATGTAACAGGAAAATGCCTATTTGTATGTAGAAAAAAAGGGAAAAAAATTTGACCTGTCATAATATTGCCAATTTTAAGATATTTCTTTTTTTTCCACAAGGAAGTTTTCTTTTTCTTATGATGTCTACAAAGGGATCTGTCAAGCACATGCCTTGTCAAGCACTTCCTCATGCCATATTGTATCATTCAACACCAACAAAACACAGGAAGCTACAAAGCATGTTAAGAGTTGTCAACACAACGAATCTGCACATCCATAGAATATTGTGAAAATCCTTTACCTGTACCACCAGCGATCATGCCAATGTTCCTGGCAAACTTCTTCTTGGGTGCTGACTTCTTATCAGCCTTGATGCTGAAGTTACCTAGGAAAAAAAAAAATTCTTTGTCAATTTTTGTGTGATTTTCTAACACTTAGTCCATGTATATACATGTACAGGGCTCAACACTAAGAGGCCTCTAGGACCAATGGGTGCCAACAATCGAAGTTTAGACCCCCAAAGTTATGATTTTTTTTTTTTTAAACATAGGGCTCATGCATACGGACTGCAGACTATCATGTAAATTAACCCTTCCAAGCTAGGATTTATTTTAAGTGCTAAATTGATCACACTTTCCTCTTCACATTGGCAACAATATTTGTCTTTTATTGCTACACTGTTCTAATAAAATGCAATGTCTCTAAAAATATCCATGTGTAGAAAATTTCTATAAAGAAAGCATTGATCTACATTTGCCACTCTTTACCCAGGAGAGAAATGGGGACCTGGTAGGACGAAAGAAGCCTTGTGATAGTTAATGCCATATGCCATCCAGGTAACCATATGGTAGGAAGACCCCCCAGGGAGTGGAGATGGTGAACACTGTGCAAGAATGAATATATGATGATTGGGGTAATACTTTCTGTAAAGCATTTAGAAACAAAGTATTAAAGGTAAAGACCAGTTCTGGTCATGTGATTGCATTGTGAAAGAAACGTGGAATCGATCAGAAAAGGTTGATCATCTAGCATATAAGTATTGATGTGTACTGCAAGGTTCTGGAATCATCAAAATAAAAAGAAATTTGGCCCAGTCTTGGTGAAGTTACAAGCACTGTGCACAGAAATATGTATATGGGACTACGCGACACGTGCGCGATATCTATCCAGTCCAGATAGATATAATAATTTACCAAATATATCAATTAGTAGGCAGTTTCCCGGCAAAATTTGTATCATCACGTATTAGTAGAAACATATTCTTTCACATGATTGGTCATAAGAGCTTCCATTTCATTTTTTGAGAGGGGGGCGTTTCCAAAACTGGTCTATACCTTTAAGCATTATACAAATGTGACTATCATTATTATCAGGATTCCTACTTACCTCTGCCATCATAGGCGAGGAGGCCACTAGGACCACGGACATCGATGGCATCATCGATCGGAAGGTTCTCCAGATACTGGGACATCTTGCCTCCGTCAGGGAACTTAGGATGGACGTCCTTGAAGTACACCTGTTAGGAATCAAGAGTTTGATTTGATTTGACTTGATCATTTATTACTTAACTTCATGTCACCTAAATATGACAGATACACAACATGTATGGTGTTATGGCATTAATTGGAAGGTTCTACAGATACTGGGACAGCTTGCATCTTTCAGGGAACTTAGGATAAATACTCTTGAAATATACCTGTAAGTTATATTTGAGAACACTATAAATGGGCCATTCCATGAGAAGAAGGACATGACATCAAAAAAAGAAATGTACCTCTTATGTTAATTCTTTGATTTATCACTAACCTTATGCCATGGATGTTCATAAAACATTAGGGCCTTTCAAATTCAATACAATTTTTTTTTCATTTTTGTTGATTTCCTAAGATCTCAAACTATCATCAAAAACGTACATGTGGTACTGTAGCTGAAAAAAAAACCAATTTATTGCAGATTACACAGGATTCTTGTAATATTTTTTCCTGAAAATTTCGCTAAATGGAAAAAGATGAATATATTTCCATATTCTAAGGGGTCCTGTGATATTTAATCTATTACATAGGGGTGAAAATGGCCTCCGGACAAAATGTAACGCGAGTTACTGTAACGTGAGTTACCGACATATTTGCTTCCTGCATTTTACTAGTCCATTGTTTCTTATCTTTAATATTGTGATCTTATACTAGTATAAGTCACAACCTACTATCAAATTAAAATAGGAAAGATTTTGTCAAGATTGTCTAGTATGAGGAGAAAAGAGGGTCTCGTAGAATTGACCATGTCCTTTTTTTGTAACGCGAGTTACCGAAATTCAATAATCCAAGAATCTAAAAATGTTTGTTCTTCAATTTTCTTTTTTGTTTCATTCAGTTGTTCTATATCTACCCTGTCCATGTTTGAAAAAAGTATCTTGTAGATCCTAGCAGTTCTAAAGATATAGGCACATTATCGTGTCAATGTACCCATTAAGTGTAACGCGAGTTACCATGGAATGGCCCAAATCAGAATGTTTTCTGTGACGTCACAATTCACAGACCAGATTACCAATTTGATATTCGCATAGACTTAGTGACCTCATATTTCAAACATTCATAATTCTCTTATTGTTAGTCCGATATATTTCAATCTTCTGGCTCTCTTTCATAAAGCTATGTGTAAAGTTACGCATGACTTTACGAATGACTTCATGAAGGGCTAAAAGGGATTCTCAAAACCTTTTAATTGCACACCGGTAAGCTAAAATTGAAATATGCAGATGTAGAATAACCATCATCATTAACAAAACATTTAAATGCAAAGTGTATTTTTGGCTACTATTTAATTGAGATTATGGGAAATACAGTCACACTTTGTTAAAATGTCAGGAAAATCATTGGGCATCCCATTTGGTTCTTCATAATCAAATCATTTGTAAAGTTATTCGTAACTTTAAGCACAGCTTTATGAAACACCCCCAGCTCTCATACAAATAAATTATTAACATAGGTTTGATTGCCTTTTAATCTGTGTGTGGTGTCTTACCTTGATGACGAGATCAACGTAGCCCCTATCCTCATCACTAGTGACCGGTGTGTATGGACGGACGACCAGCTTACCATCCATTCTGGTGGTCAGGTAGATATGCTGACCTATAAATAAGAGAGGTCAAAAATATCTGTCTAGTCCAAGTTTTGAACAAATCAGGAATATCCTTCTTGTCAATGTTGAGATTAACCTACTATTCTAAATCTCAAATTCATATTTAAAATCATCTTAATACATTGCCGATGTTGAGTTTAAATAAAAACCTGTCTAATTTGAGTCATTATGCATCATTTAATTCACCTGATACAAATGATTAAAGTTCAATAGTCAGCATGCAAATTGCATATGTGTTGCTAGGTAGGACTAGCCATAAGGTTTGTCCTACCTGGCAACAACTAATGTATGTGATTTGCATTCTGACTTTTGAGATATACATGTATCTATTCGTAACAAGGGAATAAAATAATTTGAATCGAGGCACTTCACAAAGGCATACACATATTAAATATTGTTACATTATAAAAATGGCCTATAGCCTAGGGGATCGGAAACATTGGGCTTTGGTCTAAAAGGCAAGTTAGCAATAGACCGGTTTAATAACATATTTAAATTTTATGCATTTAAGTTTTAACCAAAGGTTGTTCTTGACAGCCTGAAATCTTGGCCAGGGCTTGGAGGACATGGCAACAAGTAACGTACATGTATTAAACAAGGTTATTCTTGACAATCCGAAAGCTTGCCTAATGTTTGCCCGACATAGCAACAAATATTGTAGTGCATTTATTAATAATAATAATATTGGTTTCTTATATAGCGCAAGTATCGACCTTGCAAGGTCCTCAAGGCGATCCAACATTACCCGGCTATGCTAGGCTGCCGATTTACACGCTCACAGCATTTTAAGGAATTCCTTCCTACCGGTACCCATTTAACACCTGGGTGGAGAGTGGCAAATGTAGATCAATGTCTTGCCAAAGGACAATAATGGGTTGATGGAAGAACTTGTCAATAGGTCCTCAGGAAAGAAAAATCTATAAATTTGAATATATGTTTGGACTGACCTGTTGGAAGACCCAGGATATGATCCTTGCTTGGAAGAGCAAAGCGGAAGCGACGAGTGTCATGGCTGATCTCCTACAAGATCGGAAAAACAATCATCATATTTAAAAATATCCAACATTAGAAAATTTTAGATGATACAATCACTACAGTGTATGTACAATAGTACAAAGGTCATGTGCGTCGTAACAAATTTCCAAGTAATCTTTAGAAGAATACTTCCAACTGTGTATCATTGAATGTATTGTCTGTGCATACTGGATATAGATGAATAATGATTCCATTATAACCTTTATGAGAACGTTTCCAGAATTTGTACAAATGCAAAAATGACATTTATCTGCCCATTTGGAGATTGTATCTACAAACTGGCTAACTGTGATTCGTATGAACTCTGACTCTTATAATGTGCATTGGGCTTTAACCCTTTCAGGTGAATTGACCACACTTTGTTCTTCAAATTGGCAACAATAACTGTTTTTTTATGGCTACATTGTTAAGATAAAATGTAATGTCTCTAAAAATGATATACATAGGCAAGAATGTTAACAAAGACTTTGAATCTATCAACATGTTGCCAATTTACAGATTTTAGTGATTCTTTTCCTTTATAAAATTCCTGCCATCAAACACAATATAGTCATGCTATGAAACTTGATGCAGTATGTTAAGAAACTAAATTTGCTCTTTCTCCTCAATTCGATTCGATTCGATTCGATTCGATTCGATTCAATTCAATTCCATTCCATTCAATTCAATTCAATTCAATTCAATTCCTCATGTATCTGGCATATTTTATAGGGCTCTGAATCCAAAGTTATTGAGCCAAGCCACAAAGTGTAGAATGATTGTCATGAAAGGAATGAACACAGGGTTGTTCCCACAGACTAGACAGCAATGCGACATTTTAAAAACCTAACCTAGCCATCCTAGCGCTGCATTTAAATATTTTAATATATGAATAAATTGAATATTTGCCTTGGTACGGTGTGGTGGAGATTAAAATTAAATCGGCCAGAATCTGGACTAACGGTATGTCGCATGACAAGTTTCGACCTGGGTAGTTATTTGTTTATGGTAATCATCCTGATTTTCTTACGATGTCATTTATTTAAAGAAAGATACCTTTGCACTTGTAATTTCTGTATGAAATCTCATGTGATAAATTATCATGTCAGATTCTGTGTGTGTGCATATATTATAAATATTTATGACTAGCGCATGACGTATAGGTTTCTTTTGAACCAATCAAATGCAGCGCGAGGGTTGCTTTGTTAGGTTTTAAAACAGTTGCAGGGAGCTCAGGTATGTAAGAACTTACCTCACGATATACCAGCTGGAGAGGAATCTTAGTATCAGCGTCGATCAGGGTCTTCTTGGGTCCTTTGGACTTCTTTTGTCCACCCCCCAGGAAGTACCGCCCCACGACGATCGTCAGGACGACGACCCCAATCCCCACAACCACTGGCACACCAAACTATAAAGATACAAACAGAGGATGGGAGATGATAATTAAGTGTTCTGCTTGTTGTTTTGGAGCCAGGTTATAGGGACTTTTAGATTTACACGACGAGAGCGTGGACTGCAGCGTGTGACATTGTGTTAAGGCACTGGGCCGTGCCCAGGATGTCACACATGGCGGTCCACGTTCTCGTCGTGTGAATCTAAAAGTCCCTATTAAGGCAGTCAAACAGTAACGGCAACTTCATTAGAAATATCCTTTACGGCACATCAACTGTAAAACTTGAGGATTCATGCATATATTTAATACAAATGACACTGCAAGAAACAACAAGTTGTGAATGATCAATGTATGAAAACATGAAATCAAATCAATACGCTTCACCCTCAAGTTCTATAGTTGTCTAAAATCAGAGCAGTACTAATAAAACAAAGTAATGAGCAATTGAGTTCTAGAAAACTAAAAGAGAGCTCTGGTAGAAAACAAGAATTCACTCCAATCATATCTCTCCTAGTAACTACATAGCAAAGAAGAACAAAAAGTGAGCTCATATAAAAGAGTACATTCTACACTGAATCTATAAAGCAAACACAAATGAAGTTTCAGTCCTCTGTATATAGCTACATGTAGATTAGTTCATATGTATACAGAATATAAAAAATAACACACATCCCTAACTAATATACATTTTGCGTTCCGAAAGCATCTTTTCATGCCACTGTATTTTGCTCTAAGCTACTGCTCTTTGTAAAGATCCAACATCTGTTGGCACTCATGTAGCAATTCAAATATAAACGTGCAGCTGTTTTAAAAACAGTATGGTAATAGTAACGTGAAAAAAAATAGGAGTCAATTCTTTTTTATCCTGAGTTCTTGTTATCATTACAAGCATGCATGGTGTATGCAATCAGTATTAAACTGATCTGCATTGAGCACTGCACTTAGCATACTTACATTTTACTTAATTTCCCTTGCAATGTCTTGCCTAGACATGTAGTTAATAATCTTGAAACTCATTTATATTCTTATTAAGAAATAAAGTAATGATAGTACTCAGCATGAAATACTGTTGTTAATAATTGCTGTATTGTTAGAAATGAATACCAAACTGCAGTTAAATCGGCAATTAAAGTGAAATTAATTAAATACATTGAATTTTTTTAAACTGTTGATTAAATTTATCAAGCCTGGTTGAAAACATACTTACATGTACATAAATATCTGCCTTTCACTGCCAAATTTGTCTTTATTAATTAGGCAATAAATGAGAGCTTTGAAATAGACCTGGAGCACAATTCTTTTTTTTCTTCCAATGCTCTTCTTTGCTACAGAGCTTGATCGGATGTTTTGCATCAATACACTTTAGCTCCATTTGAAAGGAAACAGTTCAAACAGTACCTAATTGCTAAGAATTACATGTACAACAACATGCTTGACATTACTGTTAAACCAGAAACTTTGGCCACATAGAGCTCTTGCTTATTAATCATTAAAAAAAGGGTATTTTCCCGCCACCAATACAAATAACCCCCAAATGTCAAGAGATCTTTTACACATGGAGACATCCCACTTTGTGCATTTTAGAATTAACCACTGTCGAAGTAATGGAGGTGCTTCATGAATACCTTTCGATTGCCCTCTTGAGAAAAATACTTCCACCTGTGTATTAGATCAGGGAATAATATTCCTGGTATCGCATCGCAATTTGCTATGCATTTTTGCATGACTGCTATACAAAATATCTTTTGTGTAGCAGTTTTCTTCCATAGAAATGTACAGAATTTCATTTGAAATATTTATCCATCGCCTGAAATTGCTAATCAAAAAATTTGAAGAAAATTATTCCCTGTAGATAATGTGCTGTTACTGTTAGTGAATAAATGAATGATTACATCGTTTTCATCGGCATGAATCCAGTATTTTTTTCTTGGTGGGTTTCATGATTTTAACACAAATGACCTTATTCAGTGATGTGTCAGCAATGAAACGTCTATGTATTCATGATCTTTCATGTGTCTGTATCAATTGCATTGTTTGCGAAAGCTTCATGCACGCCAAAGTTTCTGGTTTTTCAGTCGTTTACAGTCAATAATTACCTTCTTTGCGATGTGATATGGTTCAAGGATGAGTGATGTGAGTTTTTTAGCGGTGAGTGCCAGAGAAAAGTCACAAACCAGCCCAGAGGTAGCCAGAGGTGAAGTACAGACATGCACAGAAAGGATTGAGAGAAAGAGATTTTGCAATTTTAAAGCTTGCAGGACTGATTTTGTTATGACAATGTTGATTTGTGCAACAATTATAATTGGGAGGGGAGGGGAGGTTCAGCAATGGGCGCATGTATGTAGATCAACTATAGCAGAGTGTTTCACAAACAAAAAAATCAGATATGTAAAATTGTAACTTACAATGTATAATTATAATAATAATCATCTTTTAAAAGTCCACTCCAAATTTTATAAGTTAAACCGAAAATGGAAATTCTTTTTGCCCAATTGATCGTGAGCCCGGCAGCAGCAACTCCCGTCTTTTAATGTCTTTTGGTATGACGCGGCCGGAAGGAGTATGAACTGATGATCGATCATAAAGCACCAAGTCCTTTGTGGCTGGGTTCCAGAGCTCTGGAAGCCATTCTTAAAATCTAAGATGCTCTCTGGTGCAGTCTGATCATATATGCTACAGGTAATGCATTTTGAAACACATTTATGACTCTTTCAGAAATAATTTTGTTTGAGAATGAGTTTTTTTTATGATGATTGATGATAAATATTAGTTTAGGGATTAATAATAGTACATTTTAAATATCTCTATTAAATATTACTGCTTAGACCTGTTACTTTTATAGTTAGTCTATACCATACATAGAACTTTACAAATTGAGCGCTTTACATTTAGAAAACCTGCTCCCATTGGCCGATCCGCTTCAGTGGCTTCGAAATTAAATGAGAGAGGGCCTAGACGTAGACTAGACTCTACTTAACTCAGGGATTGTGTAACTTTGTCTCAGATTCTCATGATTCTGAAACAAAATCCTGGATTTCTTTTAGCTCATGCTGCAATAAGAAGCTAGTTTAAGGTTGCAGTCCGAGCATGAGAAGATAAAGCAAGGTCATTGCAGAACAAATTTTGAAATAGACATCTAGATCAGGCCTTCTCAACTAGTTTATTAGAAGTGCCAAAATGAAAATAATTTGAAGTTGAAGTGCCAACCTGTATTTTTGAGCGAGCCAAAATCGGTTAGGGTACAGGGGCAAAGTCCCAACGGGGGTGCAGGGGGGCAGAGCCCCCTGAAGCTGATGGATTTTAGGGCTTTGTAAAGGCCCAGATGTGGCATTTTTAACACCATTTTATTCCAAAATATATCAATCATAATTTCATATTGATGTGCAGGGCTTAAATTAATCCAAGGCCACCAAGGCCATGGCCGTGGATGCCCTTTTGATTGGCCTCAATGCCCCTCTCATTGGCCTTGGAGATTTGTTATGCGTTTCCAGTTCTTCCTATTTGTGCTGTAATATAGGAATGTGCCCTACAGAAAAGTGGCCTTGCCCTAAAAGTATTGAAAAATTAAATGAACATCAAACAAACAAAAACAACATGTTTCCAGAGACTGGCAATGTTAAAATTAGTAGCACAACGTAAGCTTATTGTTGATTAGAGCTAAGGTTAAGAGTCTTATAAAATGGTAAAAACAACAAATTCCCCTTTCTTTCTTCCTGTTTGTTAAGCAGACATTTTGGGCTCAACTTCGACTGCGACTTCTTGATTTTGCTGAGTTTTGATTTTAAAATATATAGTCTACAGGGCCTAGATCTAGAGGTCTATTTTCTTTCTTTTTGTTTGTTTTTTGTTCCCCTTCTTTTTTTGCAACAGTCGCGCGCCACTCCGACTGACCGCAAGCGTGCCGCCAGTTGAGAAGGCCTGATCTACATCTAGGCAACGAAATCATGAAAGTTATGTAGGGGCCCAATCATTATTCATTCATGCACAAGGGGAAACAAAGTCAATGGCTATTTACACCTCCAGCCAGGTCCCATGGCAATGCTGTGAAGTGATTATTTCAAAATGTACAAATGCAAAGTGGGACCTCTTCATGTTTTTGAAGATCTGTGGATATTCGGGGTCATTGACATTGCAGTAATGTGATATCCGTGAACTGGTCTTTCATAAATTTTAGACAGTCTACTTTAGTTTAGGTCAGTCAGGAACCCAATGAGGCATGACTTTACCAAGTCGGGGGAAAATTCACCACTCCCCGAGCATGCCGAGTAACCCCACCCACCCCCAACTGCCCAAGGCCAGAGCGCGGCCCAGGGGTCAGTCAGTGCCTAACAAAAGAGGTACAAAAATGCGATCGTGTTTTCACGTATTACGAACGATTCGGCGAGCTTCAATATAAAAAACATCGAAATAGAATTGTACTAGATAGTTAACTAACAGTTTTATCTCTCACAAAATAATATGACGCTTAAAAGAAATAATTACCAGAGCTTCTTCCACGCCCATTTTCTTTTCTTCTCCTCTGAATTGCAGGTCAAATTATCGGAAGAGCAAAAAAAGTAGCATTCTAATATAACAGAAAATCTATTAATGGTGGCCTAAAAGGGAAAACAGCATTTTTGCCCTGGCATTTTTTTTCTCTCAATGAAATCTTCCATTGGCGTTGATAACTCTGGCATTTTACTAATCTCTAAACTTTTTGTATATTTTGTTATGGGAGATATTCCTAAGCAAATACAGTTCACAAAGAAAAATGATCTTATTTGTTTTTCGGTATTTGTGTTAGGTTACATGAGTTTCAGATTCAGAGATTAGGCAAAACGATGTTTTAATGGTGGCCATATTTTTTTATTTATGCAATGCCAATTATACATTATCAATTCCACAACCTAGATTTTCAACCATTTTTAGTACATGTATGTTGATATAAAGGAAGCTTTTCTCAAGTAAATGCATATAATGTGGAAAATCATCTAGTTTGTTTTAGATAATTTTATTGGGCCTGTCTATAGTCTCAGATAACGAAAACATCAGGCAAAACGATGTTTGAATGCTGGCTATTTTAAATCTATGCAAACAGACCATTTTCGTAAGGTATTGAAAATGTAATGCACATGTTAAGTGCCTCCTTAAAAATTATTTTAGTCACCTGTTACGACTATTGTACATGTATTTCAATAGTCCTATCGAGCAAAAACTTTAATTGGGGGGGGGGGGGGGGGCTTTTGGACCTCCCAAATTAAATTCAAACGTGGTTTATTTCTAATTCCATTCCAGTGATTTACAAATGTTACTGAAATGACATGATTTTTCGGGTATTTTTCTCTCTTGTTTGCCCATTATGCCAGAGGCGGTTGGGGGGAGGCACTGTTCCACCCACTTATGGGGCTTTCACATATACACTCCGGGGCCCGTACGGCGAGTAAAAACAGACATTTTGGGAATTTTCGGCCGGTGTCCGGCCGGCTGCCGACAAGTTCCTACGGGCGCCGGGACAGTTTTCTAAGCCGTACGGGCCCCGTGGTGCTGAGTTGGCTGCTCCCAATTCTCCCGGCGTTTTGAACTGACCGTTAGCCCGTAGGAAACCCGTAAAGGGCCCGTCAGGCACCTTACGGGTCCCGTGCGGGCTCCGGAGTCCGGACAGTGCCCGGACGGGCCCCTTACGAATTTTTCTTCAATTTTAATAAAAAATATTTACGGGCGCCTTGCGGTGCTCAAGGGTTCCGTACGTGTACCCTACGGCGCCCTCACGGGCCCCTCAAGAGCCCCGGGTGATATGCACAACAACAGGCGTCTGCCGTCCGGGGGCCATTTAAAATGAATATTGCCCGTGCGGGTCCCTCACGGCGGCATCTCGAAATGTACAACGCAGATTTAAATACAGGAGGTACGGATACCAGAGGACACATACAGAGTGAGTCAGAAAAAATGTCCCACTTTTTAAAAGTTGTATTGTTTGAAGTATGAATATTTAATGATGAGTTTTATGATATATGTCTTGATAGAGTTATCCTCCCAGTACATTTAGATACCATTTTCATTTGAATTTCTGCATGCATGACTGAACATCAGACAATCTTTACAAGACTGACAGATCTCACTTGTGCCAAGTTGCTAGGTGAGGAACAAAATAATGTTTTGAACAAAGACAGCCATTTTGTTCAATTATCCCATCAGCCAGACAGACAAAAACACACAAATACACGCACCCCCCCACACACACACACACATATATATATATATATATATATATATACGAACATGCACAGGCACACGTCCACAAATAAGCATTCCATTCCCGACAAGGCCTACCAAAACTGTTACTTTTTGTCGGGAATTCTTCTTATCGTACGAAAAGTTGAGTGGCCGCTGTCCTCTTGGTGCGTATTGGCGGATGTTGTGCTAGATGATGATGATGGTGATGATGATGATGGTGATGAAGATTAAGATGATGACAATGATGACATGATCGTGGTAGTGAATGTGTTTACAAGGGAAAGAATTTTACTTTAGGGTTATGCCACTTAGACATTCAGCGATCTTGATAAAAATCAATGCTCAATCAGAAAAGGGGCAATTATGAAATAATTGTCACCGTGTGTGTTGTGTGTGTCGTGTGTGTGCGTGTTGGTGTGTGCACGTGTCTGACTGTCTTTGTCCAATGCATTGTTTTATTCCTCACCAAGTAACTTGGCGCAAGTGAGATCTGGCAGTGTCTGATATTCAGTGATGCATGCAGGGATTCAAATGAAAATGGTACCTAAATGTACTGGGAGGATAACTCTATCAAGATATATCATGAAACCCATGATTAAATATTCATACTTCAGACAATACAACTTTTAAAAAGTGGGACATTTCTTCTGACTCACTCTGTAGTTCAGTGCACCGCACGGCACCCGGCCTGGCGCCTTGAGGACCCCGGCCGGGCCCCGGCAGGGCACCTTCCCGAGCCATCGGTACACCTGCTCATCGGACGGAGCCCGTAAGGTTACCGGTCGGCACCCTGCCGGCACCCTTACGGGCGCCTTGCATTTCACTCGACCAATTTTCTCCGGGCACCTCCCGGGCGCCGCATAATATGTGACCACACATGCCGTAGAAATGAAAATCGGACGGTTCCCGTACGGTCTCTAAATCTACGGCAAGCCGCCGGGTAGGGAAAATCGTACGGGGCCCGGTTTATATGTGACCTAGGCATTATTCAGGTAGCCTACACGCAAACAAAACTTTTTACATAGGGCAAGTGCCCCCTTTTCTTTTTTTAATAACTGTCCTTTTCCTCTCTTTTCATCTCTGGAGAGTAGGCCTACATCTTTTCAGGTGCGAGAACCCCCTTCACTTTTTCTTAAATGCAACTTTTCACCTCTGATAAGTGCCCCTTTTCCTTTCTAATAAGTACCATATTTCCTTCGGATAAGTGCCCTTTTCCTTTTTTATATGAGCCCCTCCCCCTTTTTAAAATGCCCTTTTAACATCTGATGAATGCCCCTATCAAAATCTGGTAGGTGCCGTATCCTCCAAAATCCCCATTTCCATTCTCACCTCTTTTCATTTCTGTTGAGTGTCCCTTTTCGGTTGCTAGAAGTGGTATTTTCACCTCTGAAGGCTCTGATAATTGCTTCTTCGTCTTTTTTTTTACCTTTGACACGAGCACCTTTTCTTTTTCTAATAACTTTTCTTTTCCCTTTTGATAATTAAGTGCCTACTTTTCCTTCCTCCAAAACTTGCACCCTAAGTCAAGGCGACTTAGAGCCCCTTAATTTTCTTTATTTTTTTTCCTAGAGCTCGCTCGCTCTCGTTTATAGATATAATAATTATGTTACTTATAAAATAACTTTTCATTCTTTCTTCATTATATTAACATTTTTGCTCGCTCGCTCGCTTCGCTAGCACGAAATTAATATTCAGACCATCACACCTAACTACAAAGCATGTTGCTTAATTAAGCAGTATCTTGTAGGCCTACCACGTAAAGAAAGCAACAAATATTGATATCATCCCCGGTAGCGTAATCACAATCATGACGATGTAGGGGTATATACCAATGTCGAAAAATGGTGTAGGTTTTGTTGATGTTTCCCTTTGTAGGTGCCTCCTTTTTTTTTCTCCAGAAAATGCCCTTTTTGTTGGTGCCCCTCTCTAGTTTGGAAGACGCTTCGTCGCCCCTGCATATATGCTACTTTTATGTATTTATATATTTATTTTGGTTTAAAAAGACATATAAATATACATGATTCAAAGGTCCAAAGACCAAAACTGATCATGTTTACAAGAAATACAATTAACTTATAGATACAGTAAAATGAGCCAAACAGACAGGTATAACAAGTACAAGATGGCAATAAAGATGAGTGAGTCCTAAATATACAAATATAAGCTTGGCAAAGAGCGGCAACTTGCATGAAATAATGTAATCTTAAATGAAAATATACATTTTTTTCGTTGCATTAGGATTTTTTCCGCTTCACATTACCCACCCGGCTTATAAAATGAATTCATGGCCAAAGTTTGTCATCCAATTGTTAAAGCTACTTTAATGAGGTATGCTAATAATAATGGGTTATTGTAAAGAGTTCATGGCTGTTACTAGGTGTTCGACTTGTCCGTCCTGGCACTCCATCATTTGAAAGAATTAACTCCTGTATGGCTTGTATTGAAATTTGAGAAAAATAAAAGCCTAAATATTTTTGGAAAGTGATCAACAGTAAGTATTGAAAAGTAAGCATTTTATGAAGTACGGGCATGCGCGTACGCAGGGTGTGGGGGTGTTTTGAGGGTTAACACACCCCTTGGTCTTAACAAAAAAAAAAACGAATTAAGGAGGGAAAAGAAAGAGAGAGAGAGAGAGAGAGAAAAAAAAGAGACATTCCCGGAATTCAGTCTAAACGAATTAAGATGCAAACAAAGTATTAGCACTGATTGGATAAGAAGTTCAAAAGAATACCTAAATAAACCAATTAGCGTGGTTATTAGTTTTAAATCAAAGAAATTAAAAAAAGTAATTTCATGACTGTGCGCAATAAAAGCTTATTCCGCGTTTGCACGTACGGATGTGGGCCCAAAGACCTATAGAGTACCGAAGCTGTGACATCACAATCTATTTTTAGAATTTCTGTCTTCGTTTTCCAAATAAGCATATTAAGTCCGAATGTCCAAAACCAATTGAGTATGTTAAGTATTGGCTGAGATATGACTATCTGAATAAATATATGTCCTTTGGGAACTCGGTCTTATAGTGCTATGGTTCCTAATGTTATGGTTTTCGACATTCGGACATTATTATTGATGCTCTTTCGGAAAGTGCAGATTTTTTTTTAGATATTCTAAAAATAGATTTGTTATGACGCCACACTTCACCACTCTCCGTCTCTGCTTGGGCGGAATTAATTTACTTGCCTTAATTGGTGGTGGGGGCGTAGGGATGTCGAGTTCTTGGAAGGGTTAGGAAATTGTCCAATTTATCTTTCAACCTTTTTGTAATTACACAAAGATTAATGAACATTAATTTTTGGAAAATTTTGATTTATTTCTGTGTTTTCTCAACAAAAAAAACAAAACAGGGTGTAAATGATAGTGGGTCCCCATAAAAAAACATATTATGTGGCCAGAAACATGATTGTGTGCAGTTTCAGGTTTTAGGGGTATCTTGAATATTGTGTAATTTCACACGCGTGCACACACACACACACGCGCGCACACAAATAAACACACACACATAAACATACGCACACACACACACATGCAAACACACAAACAAACAGACATTCATACAGAAGCACAGACAATAGACATACATACACAGAAAAACACACATGTGCAAACATACATCGCACATACAGAGGCAGACAACCAATATTGCAGACAACATATTAAGACAACATATTAAGAGCTTTAAAAAAAACATTCAAACAACATTTACATTGATTGTTCTTCATTTTGTATTCGTTTCAATTCTTGTTTCTTGCTTCTTTTTTGTTTGGTTCCATTTCTGTTTCAAATTAACAACAATGATATCAACAACATTAATAAAAATAATAATCATAATTGGATCAATAAGGGAACTCAGTTCACACCGTTCCAGATTGCTACTTGAAGCAGGATAAACTCTATTGTATTCAAATCTGCAGAAAAAATATGAATCAAAAGACTCATAAATAAATGTATGTTTTATGCTATTAATGAATTAATATAACTCTCTAATACATGTATAAGAGTGTTTCTCTTTCTTTTCTCACACTATAAATTATCCATTTAAGATAACAATCTCCAACCCCTTTCAGAAGCCCGTGTTTCAACTGAATTCAACTAAACTCTCTTAAACTAATAAACTATCATTTTGTTTGTATCTGAACATTCTATCATGCCAAATGAGATAATAAATTCAGTTTATGTCTAACAAAATAATGTTATCTCATAATCAATTAATCTCCGAAGATTCAATCTAATTCAATCTATCATACGCAAAATACATGTTCAAAACAAGGCTTGGAATATCAATTTTGCTTTATAACACAAGGCCCAAGTAAACCAAATGTAATTACAGATTATGAAATACAAAACAACCAAAGTGCCTCTGCCAATAAAGCACCAAACTAATTTACCGTTTTTTCCCTCACTAGATTTTGAACCAACAACGAAATGACTAATATAATCATTTCTTTCATTTCTATGACCAAATCTTCAAACTCTAAAATTCACTTGCCCTCATTGGTTCTAACATGTAACAATTTCAAGCCTTGCCCATCGTACTTGTCGATGACACAATTTAATATACTACAATTCATCATACTTTATCTTTAATATTTCTTTAAGAATCAATATGCAAGCATATCTATGTATACCAAGCTCTGAATTGTTAAATGCATGAACTGGTTTCTTTCAATGTATTGTAACCAAAATAGATATTTTAATAACATCTCTTTAACTTTCCTTATGTCCCTCTCAAATACGGTCAAATCAAATACATACACGTTGCCGGTGACGTACCGCATTGTGTACAAAATCTTAGTTTTAACTTATAAATGCATTCATGAATTGGCACCAATTTATCTGCAAGAATTAATCGAGGAATACAAACCCTCACGCAGTTTACGGTCATCTTCACAATTACACCTTGTATCTACTTCTGTGTCAACTCTTTCTTATGGTAATCGCTCCTTTTGCAAAGCTTCTGCTGAACTTTGGAACAGATTACCTTTAAATGTAAAAAACTGTCAAACTGTTAACCTATTCAAAACTAGTCTCAAGACACATTTATTCAAAATAGCGTTCAATGATTAATTAACTCTGTTCACTTTGACGTGTATTCCATATGTATTGTAATTTGTATGTCTATTTGCACTTTTAGTTTTGTATAAGATGCAATTGTATATCAGTCTATTTTATGTGTATAGCGCTTAGAGACTTCGGTGGTCAGCGCTTTATAAGTAACGTTATTATTATTATTATTATTAGTAGTAGTAGTAGTAGTAGTATTATTATTATTATTATTATTTACGTATGTAATACAGTCAGAGACCTGCACATGTACTTAAAAATGTCAATGTCAATACCAGCTTATTCTTTATGATTGAGCTATGACAATTATACATTTCTCATACTTCTATCACACGAAAATTAAATTACTTAATTAAGTTTTTGATCAATATACGTATCGGACAATATACAAAGTTAACACAAAGAAAATTACGTCTCAGGATCTTGGATATACCAGCACTTCGCATGAAAAATTAGCAATGCTTTGATTACGACACATCAATTAGATACAAATCGAGCGTAACTATTCTTTTTAAACTCACATCCTTTTACTACAGTCTACGTATAATTTATTTATAAGGGAATAATTTTCAATGCTTTTCTTCAAACATTGATAGCATATAAATTATTGACTTTCATGACATGATCAATTCAATAATGTACGTTTTTAGGAACTTATACATTAACATGTACAGCGTTATGAATTAGATATGATCAAGAATTTACACCTTGAAATCCCAAAGTATAGGATGGGAACTAAACCACCATCGGTTAGCACCAGACTGATAAATTGAATGATACGGATACTTGTTTAGTCATACATAGATTGTTCTAAACGGCAAAGGGTTAGAGGCTTAGAGCATTTACTCAGATTTTTAAGTCAGTTTTTAAAAAAGTGTTTTAAGCTTGTTTCTATGTTTTCCTTCATGTGTCGACATTATGATCAGTCTGGTGCTAACAGATGGCTTTATACAGTATGAAAACAAATAATCACCAATTAGTATATCGGATATTGACACATGAAGTAAAAAGATCTAAACACGCTATTATAAACTGAAACAATAATTCTGAGAACGTGCTCTTACCCTTTCACGTTTATTACAATCTATGTACATTTCTGACAAAACAATTATTTGTGAAAATAAGTATTCGATGATCATTTGTTTTCACACTGTATAAAACCTTGATATTCAATTAGGTATATCATTGCTCATCGGGTGTGTCGAATATGCACATAGAACTATGCACATAGAACTCATAAACGAAAATGAGACCATGAAAATTATGATGTATAAATTCATCACCGGTTTGTAAATTTGATTGATTGATTTTTGATTGATTTATTTACCAACAGCAATACATTCCATACAGTTTATACAATAATTACATATACAGGAAGAGAAACAATTGGTTGGTAAAAGGGGCCAGATAATAGCACATGTGCTAGTCAAGCCTAACCCCTTAATAAATTGGTAATTAGAAATAGACAACGACTTGTATCACTACCTACAGCTTAAACGATCGAATGAAAGGTACAGAAATACCTATTGAATTGTGCGAACATATCGATGACGTACGTATTAAGTAAGCTGAACATGATTTCCATGGGACATACAATAGGGTTTTGAAATTGCCTTTGAGTTGAAATTTCTAAAATAGTTGCGGTAGTGTTATTTATAGAATGGAATCTGTGTTTCCTTGTTGTTGCTCAGTAATGCTCACGCTGTACATATTTACATTTATTTGCTAGATATTGCTGCATGGAAATCTACCGCAACTGTAATTAGATTTGTATAGATAAATTACATCATGAAATTATGAATTATGGATACGGAATATAATAAGACTAAGACTATAATAAGATATTTGCAAGACTCATGTCATGTGCAACAGCATTTTCAATAGTATCATTTTATAACTCCATATGCGCAATCCCTCCCAGTCCAATTCGTTAACCTCCACCAGGAGAGTTGAGCTATATCATTTTCAGATTCAGAGAGTTTGGGAATATTTTTCTATTTGCAGCTGTCTCATGAAGATCGACCTGAAATGTTTGACCATTTGGATCTCTTTATAATCAAAGCAGTCTTTACCCAAAATTACTCATGATCTATAATTGTAGTGATAAAAGATAAATATCATTGTTGCCGAATTGAAGAACAATATGCAATCAATTTAGCCCTTCAAAAAAATCCTGTCCCGAAAAGGTTAAGAGAGTGATATTTTCCACAAATACTGATGATCTGATCACCTCCCGACAATCTACCATTTGAATCAAGTTTACTTGGAGACGAATATCTTTTCCTGAATGATATATTTTGCAAGATACGCCTTCCAGGGTTTAGATGTTGTTCAGACTGTAGACGCATATGAATATCAGCATAATACACCTGATAATCTTGATTATTTAGAATAGCCTCGTAAGCATCAACTCTGTTCTTCCTGAGGACCCTGTGATTATATTTCCCCCAGATACAAATGCTAGGTACCCACTTACAACTGGGTAGAGTATGGCAACCGTGGATTAATGTGATTGATGTGAACCTCCCAGGCCCTTGGATTGTACCACTATACCATGACAAACTGTACATGAGTTCAGTCATGCAGTGCAGAAGGCACCTTCATATCAGTTTTAGTCCCAGGTATATTCATGCAATGAATTGTCACCAATACTTGAAGGAAACACTATTAAAGTGATAATAGGCCTGCCTACTCGATATCCCTTGCTGCCATATTGAGTAGCTTCTCTGAAGAAACTATAGGGCAAAACTCAAGGAGTTCTCTAGCTGTCCGTTATTACAATGTCCAATTGATGTGAAATTTAGCAGATTCCGGCGTCTATTCTGACTTTCTCTGCAAGATCCGTCATGCTACAGCTACTCAAGGCCACTCAAAGCTTCTCCACCTTACTCTTATCGGTACATGACGATCGTTGCCTCCATAGTTGTAGCATAGCAAGGATGCGATACACTGCTGTTAGGTTGTCCTCTGTGATGTGGTCAATATCTGCTGGGTTTAATTCTAGTCTGATTCCAAGCAGACGCCAATCTGATCCTATCAGCTCTGCAAGATGACTGAAGTAAAGGGGGCACAGTACCTCACTTTCCTTGCAAGCTGTAAGATAAGGATACACAATTGTGGTGAACTGTGCAGTTTAAAATAATCTGCTCAGATCATATCTGCTGTACAAGACCACTATAGTCAGTGGCGGTTCCAGGGGGGGGGGGGGTCCCGGGGGGCCCTTTTTTGGGGTTGGGCCCCCCCTGGCGCTCAAGGGGGGGGGGGGGGTGTGCAAATAACAAAAAAATTGAGGACCAAAAAAAAAAAAAAAAAATGCTCACTACCCCCCCCCCCCCCCCCCCCCCCCCCCCCACTGAGCGACTTTTCGGCCGGCGCGATTTTCAAATTTTCAGGAGCAAAAAAAAAAAAGTTGGGCCCCCTCCCCTAAGAAATCCTGGATCCGCGCCTGACTATAGTAATGGTGGCGCAGTATATTGCTTTCCTTATATGCTGTAAGAGAAGGATAATATATGAATCAATTGTGACCCATGGAGTATAATATACTAACATTAGTTGATTTATACAAAATAAAGAAATGCTTGTGTGCTCAGCAAAAGGATCCAGACACCAATGCGGAACAAATGTTTCATTAGAGTTTTTTTGTTGAAATATACAATACACATATTAAGTGATACCCTATTACAGTCAAAAATCTAGATGATATTTAAATCATGAATTACGGTACAGATGTACTTTCAAAGAAAGATCAAAAGTTAAGAATGTATAACTTCTACACATGCATTTCCTGGCCGTGCATCCCTTTGCATTTTTCCACCACATTTTGTTTTTCTTCATTCAAGTGGACCACTATAAGGGAGAGATTCGAGACACGATGATGACACCCTGGCACCCTCATTATAGAAGGCTCTTCCTCTCCAGCTCCAAGATACATCCTCCATCAATAATTTAAAGCAGTCGTTGAAGTCTAAACTGAACTTGCCATCGACATCATGTTATTAGTTATTAAGATAATAATTTATCAAGTTTCTCCTTTAACCTTACTTTTGTTTTACCTTAGACTTATGAGATATACATGTGTCATTACACTTCTGGTTGGTAACAGTTATTTTGCCTTTCTTTGTCCAAGAATATTTATAAAGAAAGTCGGCATCATAGGCGTAAGTATTCATAATTGAATAATATTTGCCCTACAAACTAAAACAGCATCAACAACAACTGCCCCTAAAAATATGATGGCCCTTTCTTTTGCTTGCCAGATTTTTTTGGGAGTAGACTGCTCCTTTTTAAAAAGAAAATCTGGATCCACCCCGGGATTATACAATTTAAAAAAAAAATGTTCATTCTTAAAATGTAATTGTATCAAATTTGTATTATACCATTTTTAATAATCTGGTTCCTGTTTCATACAAATTGTCATCAATATCAAGTAACATGAATTGTAAGAGCTACTGGAATCGTGGCATTATTATATCTCCCTGCATGATCACTGCCAGGTGGTTATCCCATCAAATAAACTCTCAATTAACAAAAGAAAAAGAGGATCATGGGGGACCAATGGTCATTGATTAGGCATTGTTAACTATATAGAGGGCACACATAGCTATAGTGCAATGGGGCTTTAATGTTACAAGTTTTGTGAAACAGGGCTCTGGTTCACACATAAGAGTGACAATTAATTCCTTGCTTTCCATTTTTATTCTGCAACTCAACTCGCTGCTAAACACTAGGAGTAATTGAACACAAGTATGGTGTCTCTGGAAGAACAACACAAGTTCAAGTTCAAGTTTTAATGTTCCACATTTTACAGAAAATATTAACATATTTATAAAATTAAAAAAAATATACATTACAATTGTAGTATAAATGAGCACATGTCAATGATTCTCAAATTCATATAATAGATACAGTAGACTGTGGGGAACTTATAAAAACACAACACCATTTTGTCTGCAGAGTATTATACATTCATTGACAGTGTGTATCTAATCCCACTCCTGACACCTAATAGAATAACAGTAAGCCCTCTCTTGATTGAAACAAGACATGATGTTCCAAAGTAACACATATGGAATGGTAAGATACTTGTGAGCTTATTGAATAGACACTCCACATTCAAACTAAGAAATTGAAATCCTACTCTTTACAACATGATTATAGACAAAAATTAAGAGAATGGGAGAATGAAGTGACTGCATAATTACGGTTCACTGGACTCTTGTTCCCTGACTCCACTCCTTCCTCACTCATACCTGCATCAAAATATATGAATAAATAAATTCAAATTGAAAAGAGAAGAGATCTAGTTGATAAATCAGAGGGCTGTGGATCACAAGGTATTGAGTTCAAATCCCTGCCACAGCAATGTTATTCACTGGCAATATATAAATCTATATTTTAGGGTTTTTGGGTTTGGACTTTCTTTACAAAACTCTAAACATGGTTTGGAACTATCAAAAAACGATTATCTGGCTATAAACATACTAGGTATAATAACTGTAAATCTAATCTAACTCCTGACACCAAATAGAATAAAACATAATATTCTATACTATTTATATAGATTGGTAAGATATTATTGATCCTAAAGGTAATACAAAGTTTTGGTATGGGGCCATGAATTTGGTTCCAATGAACATGTTGGAAGCATACGTGATTTTACATTATTCAATGATCGTTGTCGAGGTTGAAATCAAGTCTAAAGTGATGAAATTGTGAATAATAAACTTTTTATGTTGTATAACTTCCTCTCATGACCGATATTACTTTAGCCTTAAAACAGTGTTTCTTGACTACAATCGACCGATTTGCAATTCGCTTTTGAAAATCATATATAAACACATGCATATTCTGAGATTTTCGTGGTCGCAACTACCATGGACTGGCTTTTGGCGGTATTTGAAATATTTGAAATTTACCGGGAGCACCGGCATATTTTGATTATTCAATTTGCTCGAAAGCAGAAGTATTTTAGGGGCTAAATCTTCTGTTGCTTATAAAACATCCACATGGGCATCCAAATATATCAACATTTCAAATAATTACTATCCATCTAAAAAACCTTGCATTTCCTTTAATGAACAGACACTCCAGATTCAAACCAAAGAAAATTACACCATGGTTAAACTTTTCCCCTCTTCAATTGTACCTAATAAACAAAACCAAAAGGAAATAGGAAAAAAAAGAACTGCATGAGCAAAGCTAATCAAAATAAAATGACTATTGGCATGTCATGTATGAATGAAGTAAAGCATGATGCGAGTGAAATGTTCAACCAGTTCATCAACAATCTCGTCGTTTGTGGAAAATCCGTATTTGTTTGATGAAAGTGAAATGTGCAACATATCGTCATGGCATGTTGTAGAATTATCAAAACAATTTAAAACAGAATCATTCCCTTTTTACAACACCGAGAGTGCCAAGAAAACCTTTAAACACAGAAATACAATACTTGCACCAACCCTATCTTTGAACAGCACCCTAAACGTCGCTATACATGTAAAGCACCTGGGGATATTGCACGCTACCAAAAATGACTATTCTTGTTACAGTGTTACGGGAATATTGTGAAAAAGTCACTATCATATCCAGGCGCAGATTGTGACTCGGAACACAACTTGGTGCTGATGACAGTGTAGCTGAAACTAAAGAAGACAAGAGGGAGCTGTAAAGTGACGAAAATGGATAATGCAAAGATGAAACAGAATGCAATAGTGTATGCATGTGGTGTCCAATCCAGGCTGTATCCTAGAGAATTCCCAGAGGGGCCCTCGGTTGAAGAAGAATGGGAAATTCCCAAAGGTGCCTTGCATGGTAGTGCTGAAGAAAACGTTGGGTTTGGTAAGAGAAAGAAGATCCGTAAACCATGGATAACAGAGGAAATGATAGATGAGATGGATCGGAGAAGGACGCTGAAAAAGGACAACACTGCAGAAGGTAAAAGGGGTTACAAGAGGCTAAACAATGAACTAAGAAGAGCTACAGACAAAGCCCGAACTAACCGGTGGGAATAACAATGCAAGGCATGAGGGATCTGAACTGCAGGGGGAGAACAGACCTTATGTAAAATAAAGTGAAAATTGTTAGTGACGATATGAACAAAGGGAAAGGAAACAACAACACAATAGGAGTTCTGGATGTGAATGGAGAACTGTTAACCAACCAACGGAACATAGAGGATAGATGGCGCTAGTATGTAGAGGAGTTGTATGTAAAGGACAATAAACCAGTCGCTTTGCCCTTGGAAATGGAAGATTATGTCATGGCGGATGACGTTGGTCCTCTCTTACTTCCAGAAGAGGTGCATGCTGCAGTCTGTCAGTTAAAAGACAGAAATACCATTACTGCTGAAACCTGAAATGCTCAAGAATATGGGGGAAGCTGTATGGGGCAGAGACGTGGACACTCGTCAGGAAGGACATTCATCGATTGAAGGCGGTCGAAATGTGGTGCTGGTGTAAATTACTAAAGGTGTGTCTTGGAGGGACAGAGTTTCGAATGAAGAGGTGTTGCATCGAGCTAAAAAAAAAAACGGATGCCGATTCAAACGATCAGAGAGAATTCTACATTAAGTGTCTCTCCAAGTACCTCGGTCTTGAGCCAACCGTTTCAGCATTTCATATCCTTTTGCTCACGATTCTGCGATTAAATCATGTAGAAAGCCTTTACGAGGTCATCCCCTCCTCTTCTTTCCATGTAGACGACCTATCAAGCTATCATCATCATGCCGCATTATGCCGCTTGGACACATAATGCGGCATGATGATGATGGCTTGATGATGGAAAGAAGCAACGGTGAAGACCTCGTTAAGGCTTTTTAGATGATTTAATCGCAGAATGTGGAGCAAAAGGATATGAAATGCTGAAACGGTTGGCTCAAGACCGAGGCACTAGGAGATACACTTGATATAGAATTCTGTTTAGGTCACTGACAGATCACTATTGATGATGATGAACCCAAAAGCCCGCCAATCAGTTAAAATATAGTTTGTGTACAGCTAGAAGGTATAATATGAACCTAACACAATTTTACCTGGCATTCTATGCATTAATAGTTGAGGAGTATGAAGAAACTCAAGAATACCATAACCCCCACATACGAAACTAAATTTGGACTTGGGCTCCTTGCAGGCCCTATGTGAAGGTGTACAGGTGAGTCAAATACTCTACACATGAGACTTTTATCTATACCAAAGAAGCATATTAGTGGGCTCTCTTGGGGAAAATTGACACCATTTGGGTGTTTACCCAATAACAGTTGCTGGTGTACGAAGTCTTATAGACCTACCAAACTTGAACTTGATTGCAGCCGTAGAGATGTGATGTAGTCCACACTTCAGTGACTTTCCCTTGAAGCAGTCTTTAAGCGGTTTCTTCTCACTGCAGTTCGGGCTCGGGCACATGAAGCGGACATCATACTCGATCCTCCTAGCATATTGCTGCCTAAGGCTATCATGGGTTTCCGTTACAAAGTCCATCACCTGCCATAAATACACAATCAGCCCCAAGACAGATATTTTATGTTAGTATCTTATTGGCTACTTTGTATCGCAATAATTTCTCATTCTGAAATGCTTATAGACCACTAAGGACCTACTCATCAGTGTGTTTGCTGTGTGTGCGTGTGTGTGTGTGTGTGTATGTGTGTGTGCGCGCGTCATGTGTGAATATATATATTTTTTGTGTTCTATATTCTGTAGCTTAGTTTTTTTCCATCCCTTGTATAAACATTACATTCTTTGTATTCACCTTGCCATATCGATAATGTATTTTGTTGACGCAAAATTAAACCTAGGTTTAAATCTGGGAGTTAGGCGAGGCTTAGACTAGACTTAAACCTGACTTCAGAATACGGGCCCATGAGTTTAATTTGAAGAAAACAATCATTTAATACATTCTCAAGGTTATTCATAAGTCTAGAGACAATTATGTGGAGTAGGCTTTTACGACACGAATTTTCATATAAGGAAAAAACCATGGTTCGGAGACATGTCTCAGTTGTGTACTGGCAGACTAAAGCCAGCTACCAGTTACACAAAAATGATATCGTGAACGCGCTAAGTAAATGTCAGAGAACCGTTTTGCGCCTCCTTCTCTGTTTGGTAATGGAAACCACCCTGTTAAGCTACCTACCTCTTTGACAGCACTTGGAGCTGGAGGTTTATGACTATCCCCATCATGATCAGAACCAGCAACCGCTCCTCGGAATACAGTGACCTGGAATGTTCAGCATCAAAGGTAAAGGGACAAAGATTAATGCATTAATAATATAATAGTGTCTATTTGTGTACAGTTACCCTCAATTTCGTGAGGGTTTTATATTTATTGATTTTAAAAATAAATTTATTCATTCTGTGTTCATTTTACAGAGTATGCTCCTAAGCACATAAAACTGATTTGCAAGAAAGCACTCATCAAATTATACAATTGAAATATAATGTAAAACAAAACAATTATAGAATAACACATTAGTACAATTCATTACAAAACAAAACAAGAACAAAAAGATTGAAAATAGAAACAATTAATGGGCTTGTGATTACATCCTTAGTACACTTGTCAAGCTTATAATGTATCTGATTTAACCCCCCCCCCCCCCAAAAAAAAAAAAAAAAAAAAAAGAACACCAAGGGTTACATATTTTGAGGTTCCCCTAGTCAGATTAGAGCCAGACTTTGATACTAAAATAAAGGTAAATTTTTAAGTGTTACACAATGCAATTCTGTCAAAGGAATAAGAGCCCTGGAGAGCTCTTGGTTCTCTACGTATCGACAGTACGATCTGATCGTCTTCAGGAGATTGACTATAACATTGCCTCGCGCAGGCTATTTATTGCCTATGAAGGGATCCAATGTGCGGCGTCATAAACTTGACCCTACAATTCAGTATTTCCACTATGAAAAAAGTGGGTATCGCTGACACTTGACTCAGACCTTGATAGTTGTTTCATGACGTGGTAACATCTCTATTAAGGCATGATGCTCTTCATCAACCATTAGACTGATGTGACGATGGTAAAGATTGACTGGTTCTCCATTTCTATCACCTATCCATCGGACTGCTCTCACCATCAACCGATGAAACAGCCCATCTGTGGAAAATGACAAACAAGAGAGATGAGCAACAGGTTATGGATGGTGACGTTTTGAAAGCCAGCTCCAAACATATATTAGCTGCAATGATAGTTAAAGACAGGAATATATTTCTGGAAAACAAAACAAAACATAAGTTTCTAACTAGATGTATTAAACTCCGACTATCAACAAAGTCATAACTATGCCTAGTAGTTTGTACACCTGGCAGCTCTTACACGCCCTTTGGCAGGACGTTAATCTACATCTGCCATTGTCCACCCAGGTGTTAAATGGGTATCGGTAGGGATTTTTTTTTTATTTGCTGAGAGCAACCTAGAATCAGTAGCCCAGCAGGTCTGGTGTAATATTGGAGCACATTAAGCACCTAACGGGGTGGATATGTGCACTATGAAATTATCCAATATTGATGTTATCATTATCACTAAAGCAAATAACAAGAATATTGTAGGCTTATCTGATGCAAAAATCTCTAATAGTATGTAGCTGACCAGCTTTCTACTCAATGTTGAAGCCAATCCTAAAATTTTGAAATCCATATGTAAGATGGACATAGTAAACTTCTTCGCGAAAACCAAAAAAAACGTCAGTCAAACTTGTCTATCAAGGCCACTTAAGGAAAATAGAGCAATCTACTTGCAACATAGTCTCTTTGGAGCTAAAAGGGTATTAACTCTATGAATCATTGAAGGTATTAACACCTTTTTGGCTTTAAAAACATATATTGAAATCATCCTTACCAGTTAAGAAGCCCCTGAAGTCCACATAAAAGTCTGTAGATAATTTAATCTGATCAAAATCTTTTTGGGGGAAATGTGACGTCAGCCTGGAAGGAACGTAATACCGCTTCTTTCCAACCTTCTCTGTTTCATTCATTACCTAAAATATAAAAACATACACAAAAAGAAAAATCCGAGAAAGGTTAGCAAGAGCCAAAGTAATTCATATTTCATTGATCATTTCGTTTCACACATTCCATTCCTGTCGTTAAATTGTGGTACGTTTCACAACAACATCGACATATTTAGCAATTTGGATTTCAAATTTGAGAAATATATATTTTGGTTCCATCTGTAAAAGCTTCCAAACCTTTAGTTGATCCCTATATTTCACAGCACAAAATATTTATTTTTAAAGGAACGTGTATGCAAATATAAAACAAATTATGGTGTTTAAAATGAAGCACGTTTAAAATGTTGACATTATTTACCCATTTTCCACCCTGGGTCAATATTTGGAACATATATAATTGTATACGTGCCTATTTGCTACTTTATTGTTTGTGTATTTCTAGTCACATTATTCTGAGATTAGAGTGAAACACTAATGCCTAGGTCACATTTGCTCTATGGCTAGGATACGGCGGCTGTACGCTCCCGGAATCGACAGATACTTGGGTGGCCTGAGGGTCACCCTGGTGCGTATACCTATCTTTACATGCCGTACGGGTCACCGTGAGATTATAACGCGGAGTTATAACTGTTTTCATTTCTAGGTTCGCCGTAGCGATTAGACACGCCGTAGCCATGCCGTAGAGCGGTTCGACGGCGACCGTACGTCGGTCGTACGGTAGCCTTGCGTTTTTATATATACTCCCGGGGTGAAGCGGTAGCATCAGTCTGGTCGCAGAGTCACATTGTGGTCCCCCTTCGGCTGCATTACCGGCACTTTGCGGCTACCTTGCGTCTGCCTCAGTATTTGTCAAAAGCTACAGCCGCCGCAGGGACGCCCCAAGGCGACCGTGCGTCATCACTTCAAAGGCCGTACGGCAGTCGCAGATTTTCTGTCTTCACCAATTCAATTCAATTCTCCACCGATACGCCGTGCGGCTACCCTAACATATGTGACCGCTACCGTATGTGACCTTGGGAATGCTGCGGCGGTCCTATAGATGCTATTGGCCGTAGATATTTTAAACCGCACAGCCGCCGCGGCAAACGTGACCTAGGTATAAGATTAACGTGAAACAAAATTTTTCGCTCCTGCGATAATTGCTGTTGTTGTAATTTTCTACCCTAACCGAATTCCTAACTTCAGCAATGGACCAAAACCCTTTACCGAAAGTCCAATTGCAACCATAAACCAACCCTATGCTTTTGATAAGATAAAACTCGGGGCATTGCTGCGGGAGCACCAATTAGCGGGAGATTCACCTCAGTATCTACTCCATCTTGTTGCTCTTGCTGGAGTCGCTCTACAGGTTTCTCACAGATGAGATCAAATTTGACCATAAGCTGGACTAAGGCCTCCTTCTGCTCCAAAAAGCCTTGCCACATATGCTTAATCAGCCTATCCTCTAAGATACCTTCATCCTCAAGGGTGGTCCAGGCATCACTCACGATCCCCTCCTGTAATTAAACACAATGTCAATTTAATGGCAGTTGGAATATCTAGACTCAGGAGCATAGCTTGTTAATCCTTATTACATGGTAAAGTAAGCTTTGTTACATCAATATCATAAAACAAATATGTCCTTTCATTTGTATCATTACTCTATAACTATTTCTCAAGAGACCTCTTTAAAGCCTTCTTCACATAGGTCACAGTGCCACAGTTTGCCGAAAGATTTTCAAAGTGTTCTGTGCTTTAAATTTTCTATCTTTGAAAACATAGATACATTGTGTCTGAATCCGACGACGGGGGAAATGATACACATGTAAAGCTAATAAATACATTTGTGATGTATTAAGCTCTACATAAACCCATAATATTGTCTTTAATGGAGAAGGTTTCCCACACTTTCAGCAGAACCCAGGATAATAATGATAATAATATTTATTTGTAAAGCGCAATAACTATTTGGATATATTATACTGCGCTGCAAGAGCTCGTAAATGCTGTGCTATACATATTATATGAACAAGTGAGTTTTCAGTTTTTATTTAAAATGATCTAGTGACGGGGCATTCCTTATTTCTAGTGGTAATTTATTGCATAAAAAGTGACAGTGCAAAAAAATGACAAGTCCCCGAGGGTTACTTTGGTTTGTTATGGGGTATGGTAGTGATCTGCTTGAAGACATCAATTAGCTACATCTCCTACGGTGTCTCGTAGGACAGTTTTAAATGCCCACTTCCCATTTAATTCGTAATAAAAAGAACCCTGCTGTAGCTTAGTGCAGCAATAATGAATGAGGTTTATTACCTTCTTTGCAGGATCCGGGATGGTAATGACCTGCTTGAAGACATCGATTAGCCACTGAGGCTTCAGGATCACCATGTCTCGTAGGAGAGACTGCTGGTCTTCAATGCCTCCGTAGAAGACTATGTAACCCAGGTCGTGGTAGAAGGTCAGCATCGTCAGAAGTTCTTGCTCCGATTTTATTCCAACAGGCTGTGTCAGTTCCTTGATCTGGAGAATTAAAAAAGTGGCTTCAAAATCATCATACATTTTGGGAAAACATCTGAAATAGTATTTATGAAATGAAAAAATGTCATATCAGTAACAATACATTTAATTTACACAAGGCATATACAGAATATAAATATATATGAAGTATTGTTCTTACAGAAAGCAACATGGACCCTGAATTTTATGCCAAGATTTTGAAAGGCCCCTACTATTATTAAGACATGCATACCAAGGAGTATAAACAAAATATCTGTAGTTCATAATTGAAAACCATTTTTCTATACTAATTTATGTTTAGATTGGATTATTATGTACTTGTTTTTCAAGCAAACATAAGATAAGTCCTCAGTTCATTTCTTCATAGCTACTTTCAACTCTCCTTGTATTATTGAGATATGTAATGTTAGGTGATTTAATGCATTAAATCACATAACATTACATATTTCTAATATACAACTTTGAGCTCAAATATAAACTACAGATATGTGTATGTCTCTCTCTATATTATCACCATCACAATCTTTATCATCATCATTTCTCTCACTCTCCCTTTCTCTCTCTCTCTCTTTCTATCACATCATTCGTACCCCCTTTTCCTCCTGCTCCTCCTCCTCCTCTTTTCTCTCGCTCCCTTTAGGTATGTGGTTCTCTGCCTTTTCCTCATTCAGAACCGAAAAAAATATTTGAAAATGGACAGAATGATGGTTGCAATCTAACCTGATCTAATGACAAGTAATTGATTGTATCTGTAGCTAGAAGTTTCTCAAATAAGAGCCATCGGATTGGAATCTCATCTCTCATGTAAGACTCTTTCATCGCTACTTCCTCTATACGTCTCTTCAACGCAATCATCTATACATGGAAGTAAGTAGACAGTTTATTTATTAAGCTAGGGTAATCATTTCCAAAGCTCTTTGAAAGCGCATAGAAACTTTATATCATGATGTGTTATGCGCTATACATGAAAAGACTATTATTATTTATTCATTAAATAGTTACTAAAAATACTGAAAATAGCGGCCCGAGACCTGATTTACATTCTGTTAACAATAAAACCAAATACATACCAATGTTAAAACAATTATTAAATGAAATTCATGACAATACATTCAAAGAAAACAATTGATGACATATGATATTATTCAAAAACTAATATTTCAACTATATTCCAAAAGTTAACACCTACAGTTGTGATATCGTATTTTTCGTGTAATATTTCAACTAATAATGAGAGAAATATTGGGGGAAAAGAAACACCAGTATAATATTTTGACAGGTTTGGAAGTAGGTATAAGGACGAAGCATGACTCAAAGCCTAAAGCCAAGTTACAATTGAAACATCTGTTATTCTGTATAGATTTCAAAAATGGTGATGAGAGAATTCTGTTTAAAGAAAATCAGGAGAAAAAGATTAAAGTATACAGTATAGAGATTCGTTATAACAAATTAAAAAAAGAGAAAATATTCTTCTCTTTCACAAGGCATGCAAACGTATTTGTGCACTTAAACTATTACCACAGACAATAATTCATTATGCATTGAGTTTGTGTCAAATTTACTAAGACAAATAAATCTAAATCAATGCCACTTGATTTTAGGTAGTAAATATCTATATTTGATTTTCGTCAAGCACAGTGGATGGA